TTTGGTCAAAAGGTCAAAGGTCATAGTCAAACTAAAAATAAAAATAAACAGCACCTAGCAATAGTTGGCACTTTTACTCAAGTACAGTCTGGTTAGGTGTTTTAAGAGGCCGATTTAAAGGTGTCCAGCGACGACTAACTGTAAACCCGCGAAATAGACCCACCTGTTAGCAGGTAATGATAGCTGAATATGGGGAGGGGGGGAGACGGGCGGGTGATGAGGTGGGAGGAAGAAGGGAGAGCAGCTGGTCGGCCACAACAATGCCACACCGTTCTCGTAATCTCAAAGGTTCATAATACGAACCTTTGAGATTATCATACAGACATATGATAGTCTATTTTGTCTGAAGACGTAAGAGGGAGTTTTGACTGTCCCGTTAATGCTACGATACAAAGACAGTTATTCAAATGTGTCAAAATATTCCCGCTCCTACTGTAACAGGATTTTTCCTTACTAGTTACAAAACTTACAGGGAACAAATTCAGCATAAGAATCTTCGAGTACATTTTACGGATCAGGGTGCGGCCAACACCCATGACATATTATACAAAACATATTTTAACTTGACGGTCTACTCATTTAATCATACGACGTGTATCAAGAGTTCGTACAGTAAGCGATATAGTACTGTACACTGTGACAGAAAGTACAAATTTATACATATTTTTACCAGATCTAACCTAACCTAATCTAACCATGACATCGGTGTACAAGTGAGGGTCAAATATATTTTCTTTTCAGCTGTGTGTGTGTGTGTGTGTGTGTGTGTGTAGTCACTCAAAAAAACTATCTTTACTTTGGGGGTTGATGATTTTCAGAATGAACACTGTGACTCCTGTTGCCTCTCGGTTTTGATAGTTTGAGTGCGTATATCCTTATTCATAATCTACCTTATATATGTACGTTAATGTACCTAATAACTTCAACAATACTCTCTCTTGCTTTCTTGACATCGTTTACCAAGTCATTGAACTTTTGTTAAGCTTTCTCATACTCCGCAGATGGTGTCTAGTCACCTCCGTGCTCTCTCGCTACACGCCCCATGACAAATGTTCTCTCTCTGTCCCTCCCTCCTTGACACTATCTACACTAAATCAATTGTTTTCATACTGTGAGGTTTAGGGACTTTTAATTTTAATCCGCAGCTCCTCTCTAACACATGCTAGGTTATTTTAACGTCATTCCTGAAACATTTGTTCACTTCAACACCTTTTATACCCTGGGTAGCCGGTACTCAATGTAACCTAAACAAAGTATTACTAAGAGCCTAACACTTCTCTGTCGTTAAAAGAGTAAATAAAGTGACTTATCTTGGCAAATAAATAATAAATCCCGACGAGAAATGAGGGTGACGATAACAAGTGATACTGATGAACGATAAATATGATTAATGATTATAATGGTAATAACAGTGATAACAATAGCGATGTTGATGACAAGGATAACAAATGACAGTAATAACTAATAACATATAATTGTATACTCAAAGAACTGTGGCAGACGACGGTACCTTTGTGGTAGCAAGATAGTCGTATATGATATTAATGGATCGGCAGCGACGACCTGAGAACCTCGTTGAGAAAAAATATGGAAGAATTATATCGGCAAATCAAACTTATTTTGGAAGGGATCATAAAAAAGTGAACATCTCCAATTTGCTCTTTTGACAGCACCTTTGTGACAGGAAAATAGACACTTTGATGCTTGTACACGGAAGGGTAAGGGGGTCAATCATCACCCCAGCCCCCTCTTCCCCACCTGTGTACGTCAGTGTAAATCAGTAACAGCTCAAACTAACATTTTATGATGAGTTAATTTCAACACTTTCTTGTTTTAACAGGTAAAGTTTGTTTTCATTTATGGACCTCAAACTTTCACTGTTTCGCTCCAAGCACGAGCAGTAAACAACAACAAAAAATCGCTTTTTACAAACATCATGTAATAATGTACTGAGGAGTTTCAACAACTAGTAATTTTCTGCACGAGACAACAACTATAACAAAATTAAACCTGATTTTCTAAAACCACAAAGAAACCACAAATGTAGAGGCAGCGTGCTAACTAAACTCGGATAAAATTCTCCAGGGCTGACAAAACACAATCGTAGAACTAACACCCAAACAAAATTTATATTGTCCTGAGGAATAAACACAGTCTACACAGACAAAGGTAATCCTCATAACTAACTGCTGACGGCTGACAAATGTAAACAGAATCCTCACAACTAACTGCTGACGGCTGACAAATGTAAACAGAATCCTCACAACTAACTGCTGACGGCTGACAAATGTAAACAGAATCCTCACAACTAACTGCTGACGGCTGACAAATGTAAACAGAATCCTCACAACTAACTGCTGACGGCTGACAGAGGTAAACTCACCATCCTCGCAATTAACTGGTGTTTGGTATTAACTGTGTGTGGGTGCGAGTGACTCACCCCACTGATGTAGGTCGACGTTTAAAGTTCACAAGGTCTAATGATTCCTCTTTCATTTGCCGAGTCCGATGCTTTATTATTATAGATCTAGGTGTACTGTACGGTGTAAATGAAATAATTAACTCTTTGCTTCCTTTGACACGGCCTTCTCTAGAGGGGAGAGGGAGTGCCATTAGGTAAATAAGGAAAATGGCTGAAATTCTCTATTCTACAAAGCAATTAGAAACAGCAACACCAGTTTATATTTTGTACAGAATAAAAGTGCCGTTTATTAATTCATTATTGGGGGCTGTGGTGTGAGTACTGGGGAACGCAAGACGGTCGAGATCAGCTAGGAAGTTGTTGGGGTAATTGTAATTTTTATTTCCTCCCAACACTCTCTATACCCGTTTTAATAAGTACATTAACTCTAAACACTTTTCCCACTGAGGCAGACATACTTTACTCCCCACTTGTTACTCCACAAAAACAAATGTTATCTTTTTGTTACTTCATTACGTAACAACGATTAATTCATGAATGTTGAGCGTATATTTGTCGCATCAAGAGTCGTTATAGACATTAAGAACTATGTTTCCATTTGTCACTTATTTAACTCTGTTGTAGGATTAAGAGCGAGATATTTGTATTTTCACAAGCGTAAAATAATATACAAGTGCTCTTTTTCATCCTGTAAAATCAGAACTTTTAATGAATATACTGTACTCTCGTAACATTTAAAAGACAATGTAAGTGAATCTACGGAGGACCTTTGCAATAGTCCGCGTGTTAACCAAAATATCATATTACAACAGGCAGCTGTTATACCGCAGTTCTCTGTTTAGATAACTGCACCTGCCAGAGAGAGAGAGAGAGAGAGAGTAAAAAAAATCATATTGTATGTAATTGTTTATTATTTCCCTAGGAATATTGTCTGTTGTCTTAAAATAATTAGTTCTGCACTCGGGTATAGCCATATTTATACAAGTGTTTGCATAAATTTCGCATAAAACAAAAATAGGAAATCAGGTCCCGCATAATGAATCTCTTACAATCGCTAGCCGTTTATCCAACTAATGTTATTACAGTGGTAAGTTTGACAATAATGTTAACAACAGAGTAAGTACACCAATACATCACAATATGTTTGATTTACTTAAGAGAACGTGATTTAAGACCTGAGTTGTTGAGGCACCGAAAAATATAGAAACATCATTATAGACATACAAGCAATAAATACTAAGAGACAGTGAATGAAACTATTAACTTATTTATCCTTGTCGCCACTTGTCACCTCATTAGTCGGTCGGTTCTGTTACACACTTTTGGTAAGGGCTGGGCAAGTCGAAGGGTTCTCTGTTACACACTGGGTCAGTTTCTAGTAGAGGGCATAATTAGGAAAAATATTTGTGTGTGTGTGTGTGTGTGTGTGTGTGTGTGTGTGTGTGTGTGTGTGTGTGTGTGTGTTTAATGATAATATCAGACAAAACAAAACGATTTTCTTCCATGGCACTTTTGGCGCATTTTACCCATAACTGTTCTAGGTCATTTGCGAGGGAAACGCCAAAGAAGAAAAGTGACTTATAATTGACTAAGTTATTGATTACAAAGATAAAATTCCCGACATTCGGCTGATGGAAACAAATGCAATAATACTTTTCAGTAGTTTCTTATTTTCAACTCACGATATCCGGTTATGGGTTAAATGCGTCAAAAGTGTCAAAGATGAAACTCTTCTCGTTGTTGTCCGAAATTATCATTAAACACAAAAAATACCCTGTACCAAGAGAGAAGATGCATCTCGACTACATTCTGCTGTGATGACATGACGACCACAAACACCCAGAACACGACCCTCGCCTGAGCGACTGACTGCTCAGGCGGTCGAGAATTTTTGCTACGTGACAACAAGCTGAAAGGTCCGTGTGTAACGGTACAGTAATGCTCTCGGCGAGATCAATAATGGTGCCTTGTGTTTGTCCAGATTTTAATGGTGGTCTAATATGTGTATATATGAGGGTAAAAACAAATATAGTCTCTCCATTATAAATGATTACAGGGTATATGATGAAATGATAAGGAGGGTTGAATAATCACATTCATTTAAAGACTTTGCTTGGACATTTCACTCCATGAAATACCAAATAAAGATCCCAGGTTAAATAAACAACGGATTATTATTGTTCAACATTTGCAGCACTGTCTAAAATTTGATTAATAGCATTAACGATTTCATAAAATAAAAGTGCATCAAATGTGACTGATATTATAGATAAATTATGACAATCGTGTAGAACACACTTCTATTCACATACTGTACATGTTAAAGCACTGACTCAACACATTTAAGAATTACTGTAGTTATTGATGGATCCAAATATGTACTTGAGCTGTATTTATAGTTATGAATTACATATATGAATCAGTTTACTCAGTGTTTCTCGACCGGTGAGTCAAAACATTCGGTTGCCAGGTTGCAAGACGTGTTAGAGTAGAAGTGTGGCTCAGTAGCAGCTAGAACTCAGTGCTAGAGCGATCTAGGTGTGCTGTCTTGTGTATTATTTTAGTTGATTACATTACTCGTGTTTGATCTATTAAACAGGGCCAAGTGTATCGTGTGTGTAAATTCTTGTGCCTCATGATTGCACTCAAATGGTGTAACTGCACGTAAATGCGTTAAACATACCACACCTACGCGCTTTGTTAAATGCATAATTTGGGTGTCATGTGTTTATATAAATTTATGTTGACTTCATTTGGATGTCACCCCTAACATTTCCAGACTGTAATTCTCTTAGTCAGTAACCCACCATCCCAAGAGTTACCTAACTTGTGAAATGTGCTCCTCACGATGACGAAATCTGTACCCGCGTCCATAGCCACTATATACAATCCTTCACTATCCAGTACTTTTGACCAGTAATACAAGTATCTAATACAGTCTGGTACTATTGAATTTAGGTTATACTTATAGAAATTCGGAGGATATAGTACACAGATGAAGGTAGTGTGAGGGGAGTGCGGTTAGTGTGCGTGTGGCAGAAAGGTACAAGTGTTCACTATCGTCCACCATCTCCTTGGCGACGTCCCTGGAACAACACACTCCTCCCTCTTGCTCACAAGTACACTATAGTTTAGTGTTCAGCTGACCTACAGAGGCATCACTACAGAATCGTCCCCACTAAAAAATGTATCTTGCATAACGAGTGATAATCATTCATTCCAAATTATGAAATCAAGACTTTATGAATGGTGTCTTTAAAGCCTGGCAGTTAATGTTTTGAACACTAAAAAAGAAAAAGAAAAAGAAACTTGTTCAAATAATTTTAAAACACCGAGAAACAACCAAATAACTTTAAAAATGTGATATATTAACTTAAAGTCCAAAACAAATACAGAAACAACGAAACACCAACACAGTGCTCAAATATCAGTCAAACCTGAAACAAACCACAAAAATGTGCGAATAACCCTGACATCTGAAGTAGCCACAAAAACACAAGACCAAGTGAACTTTCGAGTTTACTAGATAAAAATAAAATAGCATTCCTGGTTCAGAAATAATGACACTTAACGTGATACAATTTATATGTTCCTTTTTACGTGATTACTTCTGGTACAAAAGACACATGAAAATGGAGTCGTAAAAGATAATCTCTCATAAAAAAGGTACCCTTTTCGTGTCCATTCTGTTATCTGATATATGTAGCGATAACGGAAGTCTTATATGCAGGAACTTCAGGGAGCACCATAATACAAAACTGGCGTATAAGATTAGTCGTTATCAAAAATTCAGATAAAGAAATACTGTATTTTTTTATTCCCAGGATCGCGGCGTCAATCCTGGTGAGGTTGGCAAAAGCAGCAGCGAGGTAGGATAGCGCGGGTCACCTCGACAGCCTCACACCCGCGACCATGACGCGTAACTACTACAAGGCAGGACGTCTACCCAGGTAATAGTCTATCTAATAAACAGATCTTAACAATTACCAACATTCTACGAAGATTTTGAAATGTAGCAGCTTAGAAGTACTAATTAATCGACCTTTCTAAAAAAAAAAAGATCGCCCAAGAAACTACATAATAGATAATTTGTTTAGCGTATTGTTTTAAGAATTTTTCAGGGATGATATGCTCAGCAAAATCTTGAGAGAAAAATTAGTTTGGACATGAGCCCATCGGTGACTGAAGAGGATTCGTTTTAGCAAAGAAATTTATCTGCTACTCCCTACCACTACTATTACTACTACTTCTCCTGTTTACTACTACTGCTACTACTACTTATATTTCCTACTACCGCTATTAATACTATTACTACTATGGTATTATTATTATTATTATTACTACTACTACTGCTACCACATTCGATATTACCCACGAATCTTACTATTACTAATTCCGCAACTATATTACCATTCTATATTACTACTCCTGCTCCCCTCCCCCAGGCTGTCGACGCCCGTAGATCATGATCGCTCGCCACAGGACCTCCGTGGAGCCAACTACTCCAAGCTACAGGACAAACACCGCCAAGCCCCCACTAAAGAGAAGTGGGTCACCCCCCAACCCCCACCCAAACTTTAGAATATAACTTGTTTGATCAATACCGAATTTAGTACACGGTCTTATGATAAGAATATTTATATAAATTATGTTTGATCATTCAACCGTTTTCTGTCAGTGTAAGCATGAGATATGGATCGTATTTTTTTTTTTTACGTTAAAGGGAAAAATTATCTTTGTGTAACTGGTTTGGTTAGGTTAAGATGACAGGAGGGTGTATAATCATAAGGTGAAATAAGCAAGGCGTGCCTAATTTTCACGTGGTCCAACAATTATATAAACATGTGAAGTATGACCCCCAACTTCGTCTTCGCCAGGGTGGTGTTTCTGCCCATACTGGAGAACGGAGAGGGCCACCCGTTACCTTACTACTCCTCGGGGGACGTGTCTCTACCTGCTCTCGCTGAGGTTCCCTGGAAAGCCGACGAGAAGAGAAAACTCAAAGCCCAAGCCGAGGTCAGTGGCAGGTCAGGTGATAGCGAGTGAGAGGTCAAGTGATGGGGAGTGAGAGGTCAGGTGGTGGCGGGTGGGAGGTCAAGTGATAGCGAGTGAGAGGTCAGGTGGTGGCGGGTGGGAGGTCAAGTGATAGCGAGTGAGAGGTCAGGTGGTGGCGAGTGAGAAGTCAAGTGATAGCGAGTGAGAGGTCAGGTGGTGGCGAGTGGGAGGTCAAATGAAGGCCAGGGGGAGGTCAGGGTGAATAAGACATTGTAATACGTCATCAATAATTGTGTATGTTTGTTTCTTTATGCATCTTTTGTATGAATGGGCCACATCACCCACCCCCAAACACAACCTTATTGCAAAATCCGTCCAAAACTTAATTAAAAATGGTGAAATAAATCAAACTACGTGGTCAAGAACTGTCATACGTCACGCAGGGGGGCCAATGAGTAGCCCTATGGTGCGTGTGTGTTGGGCGGGAGGCGGAAGAAAGGGGGAGAAATGGTCTTAGTAGGTCAGGACAGGTCAAGAGTTCACTAATAAATGAATAATACACGTAAAAAACTGCTAAGATATCCTAACTAGTTTATAAAATAATTTTAGAGAGAGAGAGAGAGATCTGACGTAATTTTCCACCCTCTTTTTCTCACTGGTTTTATTGTAGCTTGGATTTTGTTAACTGGTCAATGAATCGTTTTAGTCTATTGCAGTTGAATTACGTCATAAAATAATTACAAAATACCAAGAAAATAATAGTAATAAAGATTTAGGTACTTGAATTATTGTTACAAGAAAAATTACAATATCTCAAATTTTTGGATGATTATTGAGAATGTCCATTAGAGACGCATAATCGCAATAATATACGTGTAACTTATCATCCATTACTATATTTCCATCAATTAATAAAATGAGGTTCGATATTAAGCGTTTCACTAAATTGTACATGTTACCCTTAAAACGTTTTCTGTGATTACAGTAAATTGTTATGGGTAACTTATTTAGGAATTATATTTCGTACCTTTTTTTATTTTTTTATTTTTTTATTTTTATCATGTCACCACTTATCAGCTTACTATCCCTCCAGTTGATTGATTTGTTCTTTGTTACTACCTTTATTGTTTGTATTAAATACAGAAGGAAACCTGGTAATGTTTGCGGATGTTGCCAAGTTATTTAGGGAAATTAAGAACCAGACTGTGAAGAGCTACAGAAAGATCTCTATGAGCTCCAAGATATGAACAATTAATTATTAGACACTTGTAGTCCTTGATATACTTATGGCAATTGACTCGCTTATGACAATAGTCGGCACTGGTAACCTGGTAACGTATACTTATGATAACCTATATGATATTTCTACCCCTCGGCACTTATGATACACATATGGTACTTAACACACTACGACACCCAGACACTCATAACACTTGTGACACACTTATGACACGCGTGGTTCATCTCCTTGACAGACGTTCAACCGGGACAGGAGGCTACAGACTCTACTACTGGATGACTTGGTGGGTGACGCCATCCAGGAGGAGATTGTTGCTACGGCCTCCATCGTCCTTGAGGAGAGCAAGTACCAGGTCAGTGGTTAACTCCAATCCTGGCCAGTGGTTAACTCCAATCCAGGTCAAGGTGTCAAGTCCAATCTAGGTCCAATCAAGTCAGAGGTCAAATAAGTTTCAACACAAAGGAAGGATGATCACAGTACAGGAGTCCACAGGAAAATGACTTTGGTCGCTTTCCCACTGAACTCATCATTTAAGAGGTTCTAAAAAATAACAAGAGACTGGAATTCCTTGACCTGTGGAGAAGGATAGAACTATAGTATTGATTCTGATTCTCACGATTCTAACCTGTGGTGCTGATTTCCACTCGTGAATCTATCTGTGGTTCTTCCCCTCCCGTGGCCGCAGGAGGAAACCGACAGGAACGCGGTGGGCTTGGTGGAGGAGGTGTTCCTGATGCCGGAGGTGCAGTATCAGGTGTACCTCAACGTGTGGTCGCTACTGTACGACATCGGCCGTTCTCTCTCTCACGAGGAGTACCTCGAACTCAAGAAGAAGGAAGACGAGCTCAATCTCGATCCCATGGCAAAGGACGCTCTTCTGGCCCACGTACTGGAGGTAAGAAAAAAGATCTAAGTGCAGACAGACATAGACAAACAGGTAGCTTAGGTTCGGTTAAGATAAACAAGTTTCCCCCAAAGCCGTCACACGCACAGCTCTCTTGACCAAGACCTAGAATTCTCAAAGTTTCACAAGTATTATTTCCCTCTAGCTGGAATATGTAAATGCTTTTCACTGGTTCACTTAAGCTACGAGACTTATATGGTGGGCCAGGATTCTCAGACGTTCCTAAAAGTAAAGTTTCTCCCCAACCTGTAATGTACGAGCATATCCACCTAACTCCTCATCTGATCTACGGCACAAATTTAAACAAAATCTAAAATGACTAAAACGTTGTGACTAGTGCACATATACATTATTTCAGTAGCTTGTTACTTAATTCCTTATTTTTACCACTTTTACCATTACGTCTATACGATTCTCGAGATAATATTTGTATGCATCTATTATTATTATTAATAATATTTTTATGAAAGGGACTAACTTGAATGTAAATTTGTTAATCATTATTATTTTCGTTCATAATTTAGTGTGTTTAAGTTCTGGTCCTCGGCAGGGAGAGAACTGGGCTGACGACCTGAAGGAGGAGAAAATTCTCTCAGGGATCTCGTGGGAAATATTGGTGTTCCACTATCACAGGAACCTCCAGGAGAACGGCCTCTCTAAGAACGTCGCCCTCAAGATGCTCCAGGTAGGTTCTTTGCAGGCCGAGGGAGGGAGGTGAAAAGGAGTGGGATATGGGAGAGAAAAGGGGACGTTGATGGAAAAGGAGTAGGATATGGGAGGGAAGGAGGGAGGGATGGTGGTTGAAAAGAGTGGGGTAGGAGGAAGGAAGGAAGGAGGAACGGTGATGGAAAGGCATGGGATTAGGGAGGGAAGGAAGGAGGAACGGTAATGGAAAGGAGTGGGGTGGGAGGAGGGAAGGAAGGATGGTGGTGGAAGAGAGTGGGATGGGAGGTAATATACCATCACAAGGATATCAGCATTATTAGCATATCATTAGTCATCTTGTGGGGTGGAAGGTAACATCAGATTTAGTTTTCTATAGTCTTATGTTAATGAAACTCTCCAGTTTGCAGCTACAATTATAATCGAAAAACAATATTCCTGAGTTCTGGAGGTCATGAATTTCATCCTGTCAACCTGCATATTTGGCCGAGTCAGATGATACGTGTCAAAATAACTTAAATCGGTTATCAAGGAGACAGTTTTTATGGGGCGGGGGTTGGGAGGGTCATATTCCATCAACCCCCAGAAGTGTAACATCACCATAGCATAGAGTCAAGTCGACACTGAGGTTGGACTGTCGTGTTATATATGTTTATTTTTGTATTTGTAAGCAGGAGTTGGTACATGCATTTATACGATTAGTGTGTAAGTCTATACTAACACCCCCCCCCCTCCCTCCCTTCGTACAGGAGAGGCTAGTGGCACAAGCGGCGGGGGAGGAGGTGTTCAAGGACGGGGTGCTGGACACCCTCGAAGAAGACCTCACCCACAGGGACGAGATTGAGAAACTCACCACACCACCACGTCAAGGGTAACGTCCTCCACCTGCCACAAAAGACACTTGCTTTGTATCATAGCTTCATGAGCCATTTGTTATGGTTGTCCAGACACACCAAATACATTTTTTTTTTGTACGTTATGTTACGAAATAACTATTTGAAGTTTTAATAAAATTTACGGGCATCAACTATAATAACAGTAAATTAAAACTGATCAGAAGTTGACCTTTAAGAACCATTAAGAATACTCTTAAGAGTAAGTTCAATAGTGTAACATGACTTCGCAATGCATCTTTTGTTAAAATGTAAACTACCAATCGTCATTTCGACCCAAGCTTATATATAGCGCTGAGGTTAGTCATATATTTTGGATACCAAATTATGGCATTTATTTTACTTAATTTCCCCGCTTGCTAGGGATATACGAGTTGACTTCTACTTTTCCATAGTGTTTGTTTACGAGCATTTGTTGACTAAGTATGGTCGTGAGAGTATCTGCCTGTATACAATATGGGCATGTTATATCCCCTTGATGTGTGTACATTTGCTTTGCATATTATAAGTGCATGTTCATATGTACTGTATGTTTGTGCGTATGTTCGTCAGTTTATATGTATATTCGTGTGTATTTATTTCTTCATATTTTATTACGTGCGTTAGTTTGTACATACGAGTGTGTGCTTGTTCACCTGGTTGCAAATGTGCTGTACTTGTGTGAAGGTTTAATGTGTGCTTGTGACTGTTCATATATATAGCTCGCGTGTGTGTGTGTATACTTTATTTATTTCGCATTCTCACTTTGTGTTTGTGGCTGTTTTTGTGCGAGTGTTGTGAGTCAACGTTCTTCAGATAAACATAAGGCAAATCCTACTTCCTATATTACGGTTATTTCTGAGTGTCTGTCTTCCTAGTATTAACATATCTGTCTGTCAGTTTATCTTTGGCAAAATACACATATGAAACATTGGGATTTAAAAAAAATTAAACACCTACACTATATATAATGTAATGTATATTACAAATGATATGGTTAGTCACAGTAATGTACATATAACAGGGTGGTTTTGTGTTCTCACATATGTAAACAAATGATGACTTGTAATGAAATATAGGTATACAAAAACCTGCCTTGAGTTTGTTTACTTATCCTGGTAGTGTAGAAACCTGTTATAACCACCCGCGAGCACACACACATTACTACTACTACTTTGCTGTACCTCAGAACCAAGTATGACGATCATCCAGCTATGATACAATGATATGAATTCTTAGAGATGTCACCATCGTTGGTGAGTTCTGAGGTAACTCGAGAGGCCGACACGGGACCGGCAGGGTCGTCCACAAGTGTTGCACGTGTGGAGGGCTACATCTTTTACTCTTTACCACTGATCGGCTCGTTAGCCGCTTCAGCGATCGGTCACTCACCGTTGGCAAGTACTGGGCATGCACCGGCTCCTGGATGTATCTGAACCTGCTCCAGTGCTTGTCAAGTCTGATTTTGAGCTCACACTCGGTGTCGTCACAACACACACTGGCAGATTGTTCCAAGAGCTCACAACTCCACTCCGAAAAAGTTTGCCCTCACACTTTTCTACACTTGCAACTTCTTCAACCTTGAGCTGTGACCCCTTGTGGGGCGAGCGTCCGCCAGCTCCAGATAAGGACACTCAACTGAGTAGTGCCCTTTGAGATGTTTATACACCCTTGCCCGTCTGTAGTATAAGCTAGGCAATTGCAGGCGCTCTAATCTCTCAGGGTAGCTGAGGTGCCGAAATGCAGGCACCAGTCTGGTGGCCCTCCTTTGGACATTTTCAATCAACTGACAGTCCCTCGCATATCTCGGGGACTAGACGGGGTGACAGAACTCCAGATGGGGAAGCACCTCACTCTTGAAGATCGTTACAAGGGACGGAACATCTAGATAATCTGAACGACCTTCTTATAAGACCTAATAATTTAGTTGCCAGATTCACTTTCTTCTTGTAATGGCCCGAGAACTTCAGCTCCTTGTCAACATACACACCCAGGTCCTTTTCACGTTGTCTCAATTAGTGCAGTTTCTTCGTCCCATTGGGACACATGATACGCCTCCTTACCGTTGGTATGTCCCAGGTGCAGCCTCCTACACTTCGTGACATTGAATCTTAGCAGCCATTTCTTCAGCCATTCTTGAAGCTCCGAGATCCTTCTGCATCTAGTGCAGGAAGGATGGCGACAGCATCTTTTCGGCGTTGGTGCTTGTCTGCCTCGGTATGCAATCAGGCTAACTCAAAATTATTGACACTTTTTCGTGTGGTGCTCCTCCAAGCGTTACGGTGTGGAGTAATCGTCTCCCAGGTGAGGGGTTGATTCGGCACTTTTTCAGATTTGTCTTAAGACTAACCTTTCTACCTTTTCTAGGTGCCCCCAGCGTTACATTTACTATTCGTTAGGCGACTGTAAAGTAGCTGCTTTGGCAGTCTACTGTCATCCATGCAGGTAACATGGCTAGTCCAACATAGTTGATCATGGATAATGGTAGCCTCGATGCTCCTACAGTTGGCATTTGTTCTATTGTCTTCCAAGCGAACTCGGAGGATGGAACGAAGACTACGTTGGTGAAAGTTTTCAAGCACCTTGAGATTCCTCCTGCATGTGACCCATGTCTCGCTGCCATATAGCAGGGTTGGGAGGACCACTGCTCAATATACATGCAACTTTGTGGATAATCTCAGCTCCCCACAGCTGAAGACACGGGTACGGAGTCTGCCAAAGGCTTGAGATGCACATCTGATCCGATGTTGAATCTCTTCATCGATGTTTGTGCTGGTGGACAGATACGAGACGAGATATTGAAAGTGGGTAACTTAATAGAGGGTAGTACTGTTAAGCTGGATAGATGGTGGAAGTGTGGCTGAACCAGGGCCAGGTTGAAAGAGAATTTGAGTTTGTGTAGCTGTTCAGGATCTCCTGTAAGTCACATTCAACTCCCATCTACTATACAGGGTATTGGTAATTTCTTCAGCAGTTGGCAGTGCTGGTTGAAGCCGTGTTGGGAGTTTTCTGATAAGTGCAAGCAATTGTACCCTTTATTTAAGCCTGCATTTAGAGACATGTTCCCCTGCCTCTCTATCATCATTTGTGGTACAGTACTTATATATTAATTGTTTCAACTCAGTTTCGCCAAGTTGCAGCCGATTCAGTTCAAGCAATGAAGGGGGTAAATCGGAGGAGGTTCACTTAACACGTGCCAAAATTCCTTTATATCTTGTAGGCTCTGAGTACTGACCCATAACAGATATTGGTTAAAATAATAATGTACATTGTAAAACTCATCGAGGAAGTAGTCGAGTCTGTGAATAAGATGTTGAATTGAATCGTTTATGAGGATAATCATAGCAATTATGAATGATTGAAGGCAAGTGAAGAGATTTTTTTTGCACTATTCTAACTGTCCAACAGCATAATGGGTTACGGCTTTCAAGAGTGAAAACAAATACTTATGTCTGGGGTGCTGAAAATAACTTGACTTGGAATGTACACCAGACCTCAAATGTTTGCTCCCTCCCAAATTGAGGCAGTAACAACCCAAAATGAGATAAAACAGTAGAACTGCACTCAGGGTAAGTCATTCCCATAACTCCGTCTCACCATGGGAGTGATATTTTGTCCGGGACTGTATGCACCAGTGATAAATAAACATCACAAAATGGGCTGCCATTGTTAACTTGGTCACCATATCGAGTGATAAGTTGAAAGTCCAGAGCTTGTTCCAAGTCTTCCTCGTCTAATTCAAAAGACTGGTACTTTTCTGGTTTCCTTAGTTTCAACGAGCACAGTACTGTACTCAACCACTGAATGAACGTCTTTCTTGGCATCTATCCTCCATGTTGACTCTGCAAGCTTGAATTTGTCATTTCATTGGTGTAACAAGAGAGCTTGAATGAATTATTTGGGCTTATGCTTTTCATCTTTTCTGTATGGTAAAGTGAGAGATCTGCTGTATATTTCATGTTTTGTTTGAAAATTTTGTCCTACTGCCTTCAGTTTACATAGATTTTCAATGTGTCTAATGGAAGTTATAAAAATGCTGCACAGAGTTGAGCTTTTTTTTCCAATGGTGCAACGTCTGTAGATGTGGTCTTCGTAATCCAGTTGATGGAACAAAAGAAATTTGTAAAGTGATCCCTTCTTGCTCCTGTATGATATTGATCGAGGAATTTGATAGCCATGTTTTATCACCGATGCTCCTGCTTGTTGCAGTTCTTCCCGAGACAATGACACAAAGTTCCTCCTGCTTATCCATATATGCCATAGATGTCAATTTGCTTCTTGTGCTGTGGACAATTGTGTGCGTCACGGTGCACGTTCAAAGATTAATCAAGAAAATTTGCCAGTTGAAGTACAATAAACAATGCACATGAACACCAGTAGATCAAGGGATATAAAAACTGTACATATAAAATCTCTTTATTTCTCTATACATTGTGCACTCTCACATACATCTGGAATGTGTGGCAGACACAAACAAACAAGTTTAACAATTATTTGATACTTTCTCCAACACAGCTACACCTCTATCTAAAGAGTACGCAAATGTGGTAGGACAAAGGATTTTCAGATTGACCACTATAAAATAAGTACAACAAAAGAATTCCATTTATTCCCATGCATTGTTTAAGGTTTACTCAATATGAACTCCTGAAGTATTGAACTCCTTATATGACAATGACTATAATAACCCTTACAACAATCTGAACCATAACCCTGATTATATTATGACTACCCATCTTTAGCTGCTTTTATTCTTGCTTAAGGTCTGAACACAGGAACAACATAAAACATTATTCCTCCTCTCAAATAGTTAAAGTAAAAAAAAAAAATGACTGGCTATTTAAGTTGACGTCTCTAATGGTTATTACTTGTACATTAATCCTTGTACACTACAAATGTATCTAGAACTTTAAAATCTTCATCAAGGCTTTAAACAAATACCGATAGAATAAGGATTTCTTTAAGACGCATCTTTGGTGAACATGGATGAACTTAAACGGCTACTTAGGAGATTTGATTATACTCCGAGGGGAATAAGTTTTTGTATAAAAACATTGAATTTATATCTACTTTATGAAAAAATCCTTAATATTCATTTAGCAGTAAACTATTAAATTATCAAACCTCAAGAACAACTGTATAAATATCTATCTTAACATGCATACCAAATGGAATTTTTCACGCCTTATTTTTTTTTCAATTTGAAGACATGCAAGGAATAAGAAAGTTTCTATAAAAAAGGAGTACAGGAGTGAACAGCTGCTCAACATGGTAAGATGAGCATAATGTCAAAATGAATAAGTTAAGCAATACCTTTTTTTTCACAGGTATGCCATATATTTTAGTTCACAGTTTATGGATGTATAAGACAAGGTTACCAAGCTCAAGCAGGTAACCTTCACAAATCAACAGCTAACTGCTCAAGTGTGTTCAAGAGAGCTAAGAGATTTTGCATGGACAACAGGACAACACAAGACACCTATCATACTTGAGGTTGTATAAGAATTCCAAGAGTGTACACAAACTGCTCCATCCACCATCATTAAAATTCCAAGATCCAGGTAATGCTTTTATCACATCTTAGTTTACACAAGGGTGGTATAGGCTTTCCTCCTTAATACAGGTATATCAACACCAAACTATACTGGTAAACTCTTATAAATAATAAGGGAAACCAAAACAACTTCATAACCGGTCATCATCAGTGCTTCAACTTTTTCCAAACATTTAAGACACTCATATGAACAAAAATGGTCAATAGCCCCTCAACATTTCATTCAGAAACTTTAATAATTCACTCAAATACATATGCAAACCCAGCCATGTAAAAACATGACAATTCAGTGTGCTAGCAATTCTAATGGACTGGAGTTTTTTATTTTCTTTTAGACACATTAAATAGTAAGATTATTTGCACCATTATTAGAAACTAGTAAACAAAATCTATGACTATGAACTACTGTATATACTTAAAGTTTAAATCAATCTGAAAAAATCAGTGAAATGTATAAGTGAACTTACACAAATTTTCCAAGTAACAAGTAGCTAATCACAGTGTAAAAGTTACAAATTGTTGTCATATGAAGACCCGTCAGTAACAGAAAAACTTCTGACCCACCCTTCAGCCTGGGAGGGTATGTGGCGTCTATGATCAAACAACAGGAATACAAGAAACGGCACAGAGTACACCTGACCTTTGGCCATCAAAATCAAAAAGTTTTGTGTCCCTAAGGACAATTTGAACAGTTTGAGGAGTATGTGTAGAACTTATATTATCAAGAAGAGAATAAATAGTTTTACAAATTATATGCTCCAAACACCAGGAGTATAAAACTTCAAGACAAGCATAAAAGTGCTCTAATTCCTCAGTACAGGTACTGTAATCAAATTAGGAGTCTTTTCTCCCGAGTGAATTCATTCATTTCAAAAAAAAAATTGCAATTTTGTTATGTTCTCAGTGAGCAAATCGAGATCAACAAACCCAACACATGACTGCAAATATACTCCCTAATACTTAGTACAGGTTGACAATCCCTTATCCGAAATCCTTGGGACCAGAAGCATTTCGGATTTCGGAATTGTTCGGTTTTCAAAATGGCGATATATTTTTTTTTTTTTTTTTTAGCCCATCCAGGCACAAGTCACTGACCCACCTTGGGGCCTGGGGGGCGAAAATATTATAATAATAATAATAATAATAATAATAATAATAATAATAATAATAATACAGGTAATAATAATAATTCATAGGTCTAGGTCATGTTACTCACTTTTTATCTTTTTTTCATTCTTGTATTTCTTTCTTATTCTTATTATTATTTTATTAATACAGTATTATTATCATTATTATTTTATTTTGGTGTATTTTTTAATTAAAATTTTTATTTACTATGAATAATTACAGGTATTATTATTATAATTTATTATTATTATTATAATTAGTATTACTATTACATTTTCGCCCCCAGGCCCCGATGTGGGTCAGTGATCTATGCCTGGGTGGGCTAATCCCTGTTTAAAAAAAAAAAAAAAAAAAAATTCCTCCACAAAAAACTTTCGTTTTCGGAATTTCGGAGAAAGGGTTGTCAACCTGTACACATACAGACTTATCATCAACTTTCAACTTTTGTTTTCAATTAGGGAGGGACAAAATAAGGAGTGGATGCACCAGTGACAGATCTACAAAGGTCTACCACCAAATGACACTCCTCACATACAACAATGTTACAATGCAGTTTGAAGGGATAACTCTAGAAATTACCAAGGTAATACTGATGTATGAACAGTTTATAAGGTAAAACAGCTATAGCTTCAGCACACATGCAACTACTGTACCTACCAGTGTCATATTCTTCCCTAGTAAACCATCAACCGTTTCAAGTACTTCACGAGTAATCATGAGCACATATGAGCAAAATTCTTCTGACCCAAAGATATTCAACCAAATCTCTGTGAAACACTTGCAATGAAAAATAAGCACTAAACTTTACAGCAGAACTTAAGATTAAAATTATTACCCCAAAATAGACACACTAACCCCCAGAATGTGTGTGTATTATATATGTATTAACCAATTAACCTAATAACAGCAAGGCTCCACTCTCCTGAAGCTGCCACATGGTCATCACATATAGCATAGTAGTTAAAAATGGACCAAATTTTCTTTAAAAGTCTACGGATACCTTCACCCTACCAGTACCCAATCAAAAGTTCCTTTAAATCCCATACCAGTAACTAACACAGGAAAGCAATTTGATTTCCCCTTGCATTATAGTGGTCTGTCATTTTCACCTACCAAACTGTATGCCTGTCTGTGTGATGTTCTCAACCTCTAATTTCCGTATTCCTCCAGTTTGAAAAAATATAAATCATTATAATTTCATGAGTTAGGTAGAAGCAAACTAATGAGAAATGTACAGTAAGAGATACAAATGAGTTTTAATTAATTTAATAGAGTATAAGTGGAAGACTATGTATGCTGCATGCGTTTCATACCAGCAGGCTCTCCACATGAACCAAATATCTAAATTATCTTATTTTCACGATTTAGGTAAAAGCTTAGTGAAGAGAACGGTACAGTAAAAAAAAATACAATTAATGATACTTTTATATAATTAAGCGAGTATAAGTGTAATACTGTACACAGACATCCCTCGATATATGAAAATTCACTGTTACCAATTGCCAGATTCAAGGGAAAACTTCCAAATTATGTTGCAAAATCTCATATATTTACTTTTAAACAACTGTATATTGAAATATTTGTATTTCCTGGATAACCTTCAGTATTCCACAAAACAAAATATTGTAATACTGTATATTATATAAAGACATGTTAAAATTAGCTACTGTACTAAACGTAAGACATTATAAGTGTTACCAGTATACAGTAGTCATCTTGGCTCAAAGGACTGGTATAGGAATCGGTAACCAGAAACTGACCCCGATATCTAGGCTGTGGCAACACCAACATTTACATTCTTCCCAGTGTTACCCAATGTCAGAGGGCATATAATGCTACGTACATACTGTTCACATATACTACTGGACCTGTATTGTACAACATATTAAATAAGTACTTCTTCTGTAGAATTCAATACATGGCTAAGCCCATACCAAGATTACATTCAGCAAAAGCAAAATGTATGTTCTATATTATATACAGGGACATCTGCTGGTGCATTATTGCAGAATGAATAATGTGTGGTTAGGCCTCACATTTATACTGTAGAACATTACATACTGTGCTACAATACCAATACAGTAGACAGTAATTCATAGGTTAAACCACAAAATCTTGTAAATATTCATTTTAATTTTCAGGAAATAATCTTATGTACCCATTTCATTATTAATTTATAATATTTTGTTTCCTATTAACTATGTACTTAAAAACGTTTTAAATGTGGAAATATATCTTTATTATATAATGGAGGTCAATCGGAAAATTGTGTTCGATATATGAATGTTTTTCGGGAACAATCCTTTCATAAATTGAGGGGTGTCTGTAGAAGTTTTGTGCTGGCAGGCTTGCCACACACCTGTTCATGTAAGGTATATATGGATCACAACAACAATGGTTCTTGTTTAATTTGATACAAATATTGCACAAATCAAATTCTGTGTGGCAGTTAAATCAATTAAGTTTTTTTAACTTTAATATAAAGATAATTATGCATGTAATAAGGCTTAAAACATACATTTCTATATAATTTAACCCTTTAATGGTTGCCAACATCATAATTTTGAAGATTCAACCTTTTCTTTTGCAAAAAGAGGTGGTAGTTAAGCAATTAACCCATTGTTTAAGGGTTAAAATCAAACAAACAAATTGAGTTTTGTGTCTATTTCATGATATTCTTTGATTTTTGAGTAAGTGAACACCTATTAACCAACAAAGTACTTGAGACTTTACCATCATAGGCAATATAGTGCATTTTTTATCCACAAATTAATGCTGTGGTAACAGAAGTTTAATCCAATAGCATTAAAAGCTAAATTAAAGTTCTATGAAGTTCAGGATTCTGTAAAAATCTTAGAATATTTAAACAGGAAAACGAAACAACTTACAATGTGGTTTGGAGATTTCAAAGAAGTGTAACCACATAACAGATCAGCTCACCAACTAATAACACATCAGGCAATATGCACTCATCACTGTTCTATGGCCATTTTCCACATTTGCATGGGTTAGCTCTATCAATGGTATAACATCACACCAAATACTAGAATGAGTTAAAATCCCACACAATACTAACCTTCTCCCATAGGGAGTTTTCATAACTGCACACCAGTATATGATAAAAGGAGATCAAGAAAAAATAAGACTCAAAAGATATAACACTAAGGAGCAAAATTCAAAGCAACTTATTTCTTTCGCTATAAGTGAGATGAATAGAACACCTCAGGGCTATAAATATCCCGTGTGCCCTCCCACCACAAGTTGTGTTGTGTACCCCCACATGAGAAGCACCAGCCTTCCTTATAATATCTTCCATAACAAAATTGTATTGTGCACTTTAGGAAAAATTACAATAATATTGTAAGTAAATCGTAACAAAGAATAATAGCTTCATTTCCTCTACCTTTCCTGTGTACATACAGTACAGTATTCAAGACACATACTGTATAGCAATGTTTATAATATATCAATATACTGTCATTTTATGTTCATACAAAATACAGTATACTGTACAGTCTCCTCGACTTACGTCGGGGATTCCGTCCCGACGACCGGGTCGTAAGTCAATTTGGTCGTAAGTCGAAAAGGCGAAAATAATACATTGAAATTCTAAAATGAAATACAGTACAGTAAAAGTAATTAATAATGAAACTTAATAAAGTGTTGCTGTGCACTTACCTTGAATGTAGTCAGCTGAATGCACACGGGGCCTCAAAAAAAATTTAATTAAGCAACGAGACTACATTAATTGGATGAAGCAGAGGAGACAGGGCTGGGTGGGTCATCAAGTTTGCTTTCTTCAGACAGGTTAACATACTTGCTTGTTGAAGATATTAGATCATCTTTAGGGAGTGAAGAGGCAGCAGTGGTGGGGCGTGAGGAGACAGCAGTGGGGGACTTAAAAAATATTGTACTGTCACATTACGACCAAACGTCGGGACTCGAAAATACGTAACGAGAAAAATATTTTATAAGACCATGGCCGTCGTATGTCCAGGTTGTCATAAGTCGAATGTCGTAAATCGAGCAGAAACTGTATATATATATGAATAAACAAACAATTCATACTTGCACACATATAAACCAGCTATATTAAAGAAGGTACATTGGTGTCAATAACACGATTCCATACTGTTATAAAATGCATCTTTTTAATGTGTAAAAAATTTTCAAATACAACTAACATTCATCTAATGTAGAAATGGGAACTTACCTTGTGACAATACACAACCACTTTCAACAACTCTACTGTAAATATGTTTACTGAAGAATAAATAGAATTTTTAACTCTTATACATTAGCATTCAAAACTCTAGATCCCACATACAGTACCTGTACTTACAAAATAATAAAACTTCTTCACAAGAAGTTTAGTGGCATAATCCCTCCATAAACAACACTACAAATGTTAAAACTGTCTAATGAAAGCTCTGGCTCACTGGATCGTGATGGTGAACTCCTCGCGCATGCTAACTCCTGGTTTCCGTATGGTTAAATGACTAGCATGGGCACCGCCACCACTTTCAAAGAAGCTCTCCAAGTCACGGCTACCTAGGGCTGCAAGACAAAATTACAGTATGTATTTTAAAACAGTCACACAAAAGAGCTCAACAAACTCATTAAATTAGGAACTTTAAACACTGCACTACAGTTACACTAGAGCCTTTTATGTAATTGAGCAAATATTCAATTAAAAAAACCTTAACAACTTACATGCACTTTGTATAGTAACTTTAGCTGGGCGTTTCTCAAGTCCAACAATGATGACTCGTTCCAGCCACGATCCCGTCTTGTAATTGCCAATTGGATCAATTTTCTTCGAGGTTAATATTCCACCTTCAAATGCAAGAGCTAAATAGAGGAATTTTCCCTGTGGAAAAAAATATATATAAATGAGCTATGATATTGTGTACAATAGCAGAAAGAACAACTAATCACTGCATAACATTTTCAGGTAATTTGACAGTAAACATGTTATTTAAATGTCTGTTATAACAATGTTCAAAACATCCCCTTCCAATCTTGAACTTAAGGTAATAAGAAAGTTCCACAACAACCTAACTCCTTAGTTTCAGCCTTAACATTTGAGGGTTAAATACATGCAAACGTTTCTCATCCTCACCTGTCTGTAATCAAAGGTGTGTTCATCATCAATGTATAGAGTTCCCTGAGACTTTCCAAAGGAGTCCAAGGCTACCGACAGTGTGTATGGATCATCTCGCATGAGGGAAGAGGCCCGACGAACTCTATCTTTGCGGGGAATTATGGTTCCACCTCTCTGGTAAACTGGGATCTGCCAAATAAAATAGTGTATAAAACGAGGATTATAAAGTTCACCACAACTGGCAATATATTTAACCTATACTCCTCTTAATTTGAATGAGATTCTGTACACACTCTCCAAAAAGTATCTTTACAATTTTATGAAAGAATATGACTTAACGGATGAAGGAAAAGGCTCAACCACAACACAAACATATGGAGTTGCAAAAGATGCCGGATGCCTTAGACCAGGTATTGCCGACCATCATATGAGATTTTTTATCGCCTATCAACCAAATAAATAAGGTTATTTTCATTCTGTTATATGGGGATAGCCAGTGTGTGTCAAGTATGAAAATATATATATAAAAGAAAGATAGACTGCAAATAGTGATGAATATACGTCAATGCAGTACTGTACGTATATTCTGGCTATTTTACAGCAGTTGATGACTATTACTGAACTACAGTACCACTGTATTTGGCTTCCCATGAATGTGGAAGAACAAATATTTTTAGTACTGTAACTAATTACCGGCATTTATTTTTGTTATTTACTAATGGTATGTGATTGTACTTATTTTATCTCCCTTTACAGAGCCAGGAGTGTAAAACAGAAGATGATTGCAAGTTGTGTCACTTCCTTGCAAGTGAATATATCCAAGTTTGATGCTCATTGAAATAAATGTGTTTGTATTGTCTGTTTGGTTTGGCTTCACCCAAAATTATTCCAGGTGAGATACAGTACCACTATTAGACCTCAAAACCTGTTTATAATTTACATAAAAAAAAATTACAGAGATGAATAACAGAATTAATTTTTTCAATATTTTTTTATAAAAAATGCGAATTTCCACTAACTACCCACATTTCACAGGAATGACACTTGTTGGGAATAATTATATCAGACGACACGGTGAAATGGTCAAGTACAGCAAACTAAGCAACTCATTAAAAGCAAACAATAATTAAAATATAGATCATAAAGCAGTAAACTTTCATTTCAATAGGATAAAATGTGTCAAAAATCTTTTAAGACACCTTTATATCACTTAAAAATTCACTTTAGGTGAATAAAACACATTTGGGTTGAGCCAGACATCAGGGTACAGTATCATACTTCTCACAAGCCACCCTGTTGATAAATAACTTTACATAAGCATGGTTACTTAGTTTTCATTGCTGCCTTTCTTATTTTGTGGCTCAGGCAAGTGCTTAATTTGACTTAAAAATAGAAAAAGTATTAAAAATGAATAATAGTTCGTAGAATATAGTAGATAAAGTGCTTCCCTCCTGTCCCAGCTGTGGATGGATACCTAACCTTAAAGTTGGGAGGATAAGTGAATTACTGGCCACATTGCCTTATGAACAGAAAGCTCAGTACTGTACCTAGTGCACTGTACCCATACAACCTACCCCAAACAGTCTGTTAGTGTCATGCCTATCAAAATAGGTAACCCCCTATAACCTCACCCAGCAAAAGTTTAATAAAGTTCAATAAAAAAATTAATAAAATCACTAATGAAGAAAAAGACAATTAAATGTACTTATTACTAAACATGAACATTATAATCAAACACAGTACAGTACACCAATAACTTACCTTATCTCTTGGTGCAGAAACAGTGACGCTGCCTGGGCCAGTGTACGTTGTTAAATCTATTACATCATACCAAACTCCTGGTGGAAAATACACAGAGGCTGTGGTTGCTCCCTCCTCCACAACCGGTCGAACAAGAAGTGACGAACCAACCAGATGCTCATAATCAACAGCATACGAGGCTTCATCCTCCGGGAAGTCGACCCAAATGGGCCTCATTGGTGGAGCACCTGATTAAATGCCAGCCATAAGTCACAGAACTTAAGTTTCACATCCCATAATGCATCACTGGAAATAACTTCTAAAAATCTCACATACATACAGTACAACCCAAGAATTCCAAACACCAGAAACATGGGACTTTCAAAAACAAATGGCACTTCTGCGTCTCTTTCACAAATACACAGATTTAGGTGATGACAGTAAAAACATTATCACAAAATTCAAACATTTACAACAACAACAATACTCAATTTATCATCTCGGGAATCTCAGCAGAAAGATCCCGCCCAATGGTAAATATTGTGTATTGTACAGTCACGAACAATAGTCAGGCGATGCTCTCTCCCCAGTGTCAGTCAAGCTGGTCCATGATAATTTCGGCCCAAATTCAGTGGTGACCTTGGCCCATTTTAGTGATTTGGGCCCAATCATTACATGGGCCAAGATCACCAACAATAATTTTCTTGGGTAATAGTTTAGCCTTATAGAAAGTTTCCAATGAAGGTTAGCTTAGGTTAGAAAGGATCACACACATCAGCACTGCCTCTTCCCATGTTCTGTGGCCAACATATTCAAACCCTAAACACAAACCTAAACTTAATTAAAAAGCACTTCCTCAAAACAAACATTCTCCACTAGAAATATAAATTTCAAAGATTGTTAAATTTGGGTATTTGCATACCCATTCAATTTAGGGCACTGGTGAATAGTACAAGTTTTAGTATTCTAAAGAGCTTACCTGTTAACTCATTTTCATAAAAGAGAGTATACCAAAGAGGCAGATACTGGTATCGCTGACGAAGAGTATTTCTAATAATGCGTTGCGTTTCCCCATCAAACATCCACGGTTCACGACGCTTGGTGTCTTGATGAGCATGGGCTCTGAAGAATGGTTGGAATGCTCCTGCCTGAGTAGTAATGCAACAAGACAGACTGGTCAAAACAAAGAAAACCCCTCGCAAAAGTACTGCACAAATGTGAACGATTACACATCTTCTCTACGACTGTCTTTAACCTGTTTATCAATTGGCTAAGTGGAACTACAGCTCAAGAAAATATGTAAATATTGTATATGGGTGTGGTATGAGGCACACTTCCACACTATGATGCACTACTGCACCATGCAGCGGGTTCACACTAGTATGAACCCTTCAACACAACATACATCTACCTTTCATGAAATCTATATTTTCCCTATATTTTCCATATAAGAATATAATTGCCATTTAATACATAAATCTCTAATTTTTTCATACCACTACCAAAATAAAAGCTTAGCTTAAAATTAGTAGCTACAATACAACCAATCATTTATAAAAATAAATCATTCAATCCGAATAATCACAATTATACACCAATAATTCACTCCGAAATTTTTTCAAATTTCTTAATATGTGGTCAAGTCCAGGAACCAAAATTATCTAACACATACATACCTGATACCATCGAGATAGGAGGTGACTATCTGGATTGCCGAAAAATCCACCAACATCTGCACCCACATGTGTAATGCCCGTTACAGAGAGAGAGAGCAGCATAGGCTCTGATATACGTAGATGACCCCAGTCTGCAGTGTTGTCTCCAGTCCATACTGCTGAGGAACGCTGTGTACCAGCATAGTGAGCACGAGTCAGGATGAATGGCCTTATACGACCATCTGACCGACGCAAAAGCCCTTCAAATGTACCTTGATGCTGTTGAAATAAAAATTTACGTAAGCCCTCTGAAGTCAATAACTGGAAAGAATTACACAAACATCAACATCTAATATGATTTGTAAATATCTGCAGCATAGTAGGACAAATACATTATCTCCACATAAAATGCCATTCATTTTTCCTTCTCCCAAGACTTTATTAGCTGTTATTCATTCTCTAACTGCTACAATGTGTTCCATTAAAATGTATACCTTCCCTGACAAGGCAAGGATGTCGATACAGTTTATTCCTGTCATTTTACACAACCAATTATATTATTACCCATGAGCAGCAGGTCCATCCCAAAGAAAAAACTCTCCAATGATGTACATTCACTGCAGCCTCCTCCAAGTCAACCCCTTTCCTCTCTAAGTGCTTCCCTTGCCCAACCCTTCCTGGTCTTCCCTCTCCTCACCTATTTTAAGTAGACCCCCATCTTGACATGGCACCACTTGGAAGAGCTATCGAGAAGGAATTTCCTTTAGTCTACATTTAGCAAGCTTAAGAACTACCAGGGTAAAAATACACCATTCTTGATTAAATACAATGGCTCAATACTAAGTTAGAACAGGCTGCCACGACATTTGCTCGGTGGAAAATAAAAGTGACATGATGTTTGAGCAGCCATGTGTCTGCTGGCTACAATATGAAAGGGAAGGGCTTTTTCTATTTATTCTCCCTAACTGAATATATAAGTGACTCTTCCTTTATATTATATAGTAAAGCTTAGGCAGCTCTAATGATGACATCTTAGGTGATCTGGGGAAATTATCTAAAATTAAATTCATTATTCTTAACAAGGACATGGAGATAGTGTAATTCTCTCTTGAACATCATATACTGTACAGTACATTACAGCACTTCATTTTGCTAAACCAAACCCAAAACAAAAGACCATACTAGCAGTCAAATATTTTAATCTATCTTATAATCACTTATTTCTGCATCTCTCTCATCTCAATTTGTGTCATCTTGTTTGTCTGTCATTATCCGAGAGAACATAATTTCTGAACATAATAGTCATTAATTCACCAATCACGAAAGCAGAAACAAAGGGCTTCACTTGTTTCAATAAAACAAAACCTAAAATTCTTTAGAACGTGTAACACTAGTCTAGGTGTAAACTGATGTTTGAACTGTACAACAATGATTTCTACTGTGAATTCCCAAGATATCATCCAACTTCCAATAAAAAGGCATCAAAGTGACTACTTTACTGTATATACAGTAAATCACTATTTTTTTTTAAACATTTGACACCAAATCACACAAATTACACTCATAATGCACTAACAAAACCCCAAGTACAAATCAGTCCTTTTTTTCTACATGCACAGATTTCTACTTTATTTATCAACTTACAAACAGCATTCCATAGACATTGTGAATCTCCCGGTGTTCAACCCCGAGACCTGGATGAAGGTTGTCTTTCTGCATTGTGACTTCAGGACCGCTGAACACTGAAGGCTCATTCATATCATTCCAGATGAAGGTATCCAAAGTTGAGCCCTGAAATAATAAATAAATGTAAAGGATGAGTTACCTAGAAACACTTCTGAAAGAAATACCTAACACCTCCTGAAATTAAGACTCCTACTAAAAGTCACTTATCATACCACAGTGTGTTGAAATTAAAAGTGGGCCCTCTTGGCCAAAGAACTCATTAAGGTCAGTGCAAATACAGCACATTATATATGGAGCCTTCAGGACACGTGGAGCGTGTTGCTGGCACTTCCATGGTTTGTCTTTTGGGCAATCGATTTCCTTAACCAACAAATTTTTATCAGTATTTTCTCACTTCAATGACTTTCTTTTCCCAATATCCAACCTCTCTCAACACATTTTTATCAGCCTCTCTCCATCTCTCTTCTCCTTGCATCCCCAAAATTTAATCCACTTCCTTGTTCCACATTCAAATTCACATCAGCAGTGATGTAGATCTCTTAGGACCCTTTTTCTGGTTTCTGTCTCCGACATCCTTTGTCTCAGATTTTTGCACGAGACCTTTCGAGACCACAACTATATTAATTAACTTTTAGGTCAGTTGGGAAGGAGTAGTCAATTGGTTAAGTCTGGGTTCAGTTTCTGGGAGTTACTTCTCCTCAGATCACTACTCAGACCGCTATTCCACTACCCAAGTGACTTACTCCATTTTCTTTGGCAATGTGACCCAAGTCAACACAGATATCACTCACCGATTATTACAATACAATAAATTCCATCTAATTTGGACTCGCTTAATCCAGATCCCCTTCCAAACCAGACTGGGGGCCAGTTCATGTAAGTGGGGAAGTTTAGAAAGCAAAGACTTGTGCCACACCCTGTCAAATACTTCGGAGATGTCGAGGGCCATGACGAAAGTTTCCCCATAATCCCTGAGAGAGGATGACCAAAGATGGGTGAAGTAGGAGAGCAGATCACCAGTAGATCTCGCCTGGCGAAAGCCATACTGGTGATCCAACAAAAGAGAAAGGCATTCAAGGTGACATAAAACGAGTTTAAGATAATTTCGAAAATCTTAGAAAGGGATGAAATGAAGGCAATGGGGCAATTGAGGGATTAGAATGGTCACCCTACTTCGGGATGGGCTGAACTAAGGCATGCTTCCAAGAAGAAGAAAAAGTTTGGGTTTTGAGGCACAGGCAAAAGAGGCAAGCAAGCACAGGGGCTAGAACTTCAGCACACTCCCTCAGAACACAAGGGGGTATTCCGTCCAGTCCACGCACCTTACTTACATCCAACCTGGATAACACACCAGCAACCTTACGAGTGGAGATTATAGGAAAATGCATAGGTTCAGTAGGAGTAGAAGGGATAGTTAGAAGTGTCTAAGATGGAATTAGAGGAGAATAAGGTGCCAAAGAGATTGGCTTTATCATGGAGAGAGTTATCAGGTTAGAAGAGAGGAGGAAAAGGAGCAGTACAGAAGTTATTACAGATGTTTTTGGTTAAGGAACAGAATGATTTACTAGAAGAAGAGTTACGGTAGTCAGGTCAGCAGTCTTTCTTTCTATAAAATTCCATTTGGCCCAACGAAGAATAGCCTTACAACGATTCCTACAAGTAATAAAAGAGGAGTGGGTAATAGGAGAAGGCGATGGTTTCATAACTTTATACACCCTATCTCTCTCCCTACATGCAAGAGAACAGGAGTGATCAAACCATGATTGTAAAGCAAAAGTTTTGGTAGAAGATGGGATAAATGCACTCATACCACCCTGTATAACTCCAGCAATGCTGTCATCACATACCGAGGCATCCCGAGTGGAAAAGCAACATTCATCCCAAGGAAAGTCGGTGAAGAATTCTCGCAAAGATTGCCAGTTTGCCCTCCGATATTGCCATAGTTGGCATTTAGAAGGAGGTGGGGGAGGTGGTCGTGCCCAATTTGATTTAGTAGAAATAGATTATCAGAAGACCCGAAGGGGTAAAAATTAAGTATGAATAGTGTGAGGGGTTAGAGGTAAAACAAAGATCATGAATGTTCGTAAGTTGATCTTGTCAATCTGGGACACGTTTAGAGTTTAATTATTTGTTCCAGATCATTAAGTAAGGAAAAAAAAGAGTGCCCCAGCTCCACCTGGGTCATCCCTTGGAGAGCCAAGTCACTCTGTGATGTACATTGAAATCCCTTAGGTAGAGGATCTCGGTGTTGGGGTGTGTGGATAGCAACAACTTGTGGAAAGAAGTGAAGTCAGAGAGTTCCAAATAGTTGGTAAAGTTGGGAGAACAGTATAGGAAACAAAGAAAAATAGTCATAGTTGGTAGTATAAATATCCAATAAAACAAACAAAACAATTACGTAGAGAGTAATGAAGATCAGCTACTAGCCAAATCTTCAAAATTCAAATATTATGCAGTTTGTTTTTTCACCGCCCCTCTCCACTGTGCACTGCAGTGCAGGGTCCTTCGCGTTTAAAACTATAGCTGGTTGACACAACTACTCCAGTCAATAGAAGATGTTGATTAAATCTCTGAGCATCAGTCTCAGACTTAGTGGTTTGGACTACATTACTGCCCATCACTCTCACAGAGATGCTTTCAAAGCCATTATTCAGGTTTTCAAAATTTATTTCCTTCTATTTTCATTTACTAAAGCTAAGAACACCATGGCTCTGTAGCTTACCTTGTAGCGGTCCAACATGTAGGTGTCACTATAATGGCTGCGAGTTTCTGGATTGGTCAGGTCGAGGTATGATGATGATCCTGGCCAACACCATCCTGAAAAAAAAAAAACTATTGAGACCCAAAACTGGTAATGAGGTCTGTCAGCATAGGCCAAGCAAGGACTATTGCTGTGCAAGTCAGTCTATTAGTACGAAATGTCTTTTAACGCCTGCTGCTGTAACTATCACGAGAATTCTGTATTTTACCAAATACTGTATCAGTTCAAAAGCCACTCAAACGGTTGGTTTGCTTTTTGTTAATTAGTTAAGAACTTTTTTGTCCAGTCTTAGTACAGGAGGAAGATGAAGTGTCCAGAGAAAACCTGTGATGCTTGGGAAGATCACACTGGATAATACCCATCTCACATCTGCTCTAGACCAGGACTAGAACCCAGGACACATTAGTGAGAGATACACACACATTACTGCCATACCATCAATACTCAATCTTTAAATTTAATTTTTTTCTCACCTCATCAAGCCTTGTCCTATATAATCTAAGTCTGCTGGAAACACACTATCCTTCTTTCACCTAAAAATTATTAATCTTTACTGCAGAAAATTTGATCAAAAACAATACTTGAAGTATCAACTCATCATTAGAGCCGGTGTTACTTTGGTTCCAAACACCCAAATCTGATGATCAGCATCAAACAGCAACTCTTATAATACAGTCCTGTATATCATGTTATTTGGGTCACACAAAGAGCTCTTATTTTCCACCATGACCTCAGCATTTAACTCAAAAATGACTATAGTAACTAGATCTAAGGACCACACACCAATGACAAAATTATGCCTAAAATCTTTTACAAATCTGCCAACAATCTGAAGAGGTACATCTTCATAATCTTTCCCGACACATATCTTAAGTACGGCACCAATGGTCTTCATGCCCGATATTTTAAAAAATTTCACCAAACATCTGTCGAGAAATCCAACATAAGACTTTTTTCTGTATATTACTCCAGAATCAAAACCATTTAAAACTTACTTATGCTGTATATTAAAGAACCATTGAAGCCACTAATCCCTTTACAAACAAATTATAATGGCCTGCCTTCCTTAGAAATTTCTGAAATATTCATCTTTTTTTTTTATTAACATGACAACTTCTACTTCACTAAATGATGGCTTACCATCAAATTCACTCCCATCCTTTGTGTGTACAAAAAGATCACGGTCATGGTTCTCTTTATAGAAGAAATAGTTGTTGTCACGTTTGATGTGAGGGTCAACGATGGTAACCAGCTTACGACCACGGGCAGTCAAGTTAGCGATCATCTCCAGAGAATGTGGGAACTTGTTGTGATCCCAAGTGAAGTACCTAAGACCAGAAGATTTGTAAGAGGTTACATATGAACTGGAGTTAAAAAAAAATCAAATGTCAAGGCAGCAGCAGAAAGATTATCTTAACAGGCTACAAGTACCTGTACTGTATTATGACCTAAGAATACAAGCTACAGTCATTAACACCACTTGTTATATGCAGAACATATCGTCAGTTTTGGATTCTATTCAAAACAAGCAATTGTAGTAATAAAATCAAACACCTTGAAATTTTTATCAAGTAATTGCCTTACTCAACATAAACTAGGCTTATGCACAACCCTTAGATGGGACAGTTAGACATTCAAGAAAAAGTTAAGCATCCAAGAAGGATTTTGTCAATATTTACCTCTTCCCATCTGTGTGTTCAATATCAAGCCAGAGGACATCCATTGGCAAGTCATGGATGTCAAAGTTCTCGTTCACTTGACGTACGTCCTCTTCATCATTGTAATTCCAGCGACACTGATGATACCCAAGGCTGAACAGCTGATGAAATATATTCACATAATGAACACCTGAACCACCACAGTACAGCAGGCAGATCATTCTGACACCAACCACAAAAATGCCAAAAACTGCAAGCTAAAGTAAAAATTTTTAGGAAATTGAGCCTTTCATTTTTCATATAAGAACGGTCTTCTTTCCTGATGAGGCTCTTTACTTCTAGAAATAGTACCACAGTACTACCATTACTTCTTTTAATTGTGTTACTACCTATACTAAGTAAGAAAACCAATCTGTCCAGTTTGAGTCTACCTACATAACTCAAGATGCACAATCTTTGGGTTTTGTATTCAAAATTTCAATTAATTTTATCTGTACAGTAATGCCCAAAACTTAAAAAAAAATTTAAATCCAAAATATTAAATATTATGGGCAAAATATCTCAAAAGGATATTCATCATAGTTGTAACAAGCATCTAGAAACTCATGAACAGCCTCACTTAAACCCAAGCAAAGACCACTCATGGTTATGAAAAATTTATTTACTATCTTAGAGCAGAATGGTAGAATCAATTGCCTCTTCAATAAAGATTTTTTTTAAATACACAAACTTCCCATCTGCTTCCCCACCCAGTTCCCCCAAAATAATGACGCTCTATTTACCGGAGGAAGGTTGTAGTTCCCAGTGAGAGCTCCATACTGCCTAAACACATCCATGGGACGTGGGCCAATCATGATAAAAAGGTCTATTACACCAGACTCTGAGAACCAGTGAGTTGAGACTTGAGGGGGATCAGAGTCACCACCAGAGAAGAAACCAGTGATGGACGATACAACATTGGTGTCTGGTAGTTTCTGTGGGGACGTGGATAAAACATTAAATCCTGCTGGGCACACACACCGGGTTAGATGAGGTTCAGTAAAAAAAAATACTTGCCTAATAAATTTTTAATGGTCTTAATATTCTATACATTAATTTCAACTGCCTGTAATAATATTCTTTAGTGTTATATTATTCAACATTATATTAAAGACATGGGCTAACATATTCCATCCTCTGATTAACAAATGTGACCCGACCCCAAAATGAGAGCGAGTCCTCCTACCCAGAAGCCAAGTAATGTACAAGTACTACCTGCAAAATTTCCAACAATAACTGACAAGACAATCATGTTATGCAGACACTATCTTGTACAGTACCTATTGATACACATGTAGGTTAAATCCAGTATGTATACACTACCTCTGAACTTCAGTTTAAGAGGTACAAAAAAAATCCTCAATTAACTACTCCTAACAGCCATAAATTGCACCATACAGTACAGGGTATGCTAGCATAAATATTTAATTCATTTAAAATATTAGCCTTCATGAAATATTAGGATAAATCTTCAGCTACCCACAGCAGTTAAAAAGTTTTCAAAAAATTCACAAATTAGCTTAATCAAACTACAAAAGTCATAGCTCTATACCTTTATGTCAACCCAGGTCTCTGCAGTGTTGTGCCAAAAGACAGCAGCACTCTGACGAGGAGTATGAGACAACATTACTGGAACTGATCCATACAATGCCATTGGATTGTCCAGCTCATATTCAAAAACATCCAAGTTGTAAAGACGGTATGGCTCTGTTGACCTGAGAGAAAACGTTTGCATTACCTCATTTAATCCTTTCACTATTGCAGCCAACAACTGTGATATAATAAACAGGGTAACAAACTATAATTTTTTAAACATTAGAATACAAAATAAATCCCTAAAACCAATTGTTATTCTTTTACTCATAAAAACAACCAGAATAAGTTAAGTAGTCCCTTAACCAGTTAGTTGGCAACAGGAACCTTTGATCTCATAAGCCCTATTTCACGACCAGCCACGTTGATGAATCTTTTTAAGAATAATGCCTCTGACCTTTGATTGACCCTAAAAATGCACATGCAAATCTTTAACTGGTAATGATGATGTGAAGTCAAATTCAAAATCAATCCATCCAAAATAAGAGTAGCTAATTACGTTGACAGCATTTTACATCATAATTATTTTTAGCAAGCAACCTTAATCTTTGACCTTGTGGTCCTAATTATGAGGTAATACCAGAAATTCCATTTTATAACCAGCATAAACCATGCAGTACCAACAAGCTTGTGAGTTTGACCCCAGTGTTATAAGGAGTCCTCCTCACGAGTAAATGGGCAGAACTCAAAATACAAGGAGTATCTAGTAAAACTAAATGAAGGGATCTTTCCTGGTCAACCACTACCCTTATAACTTACGGACAGCATATATGGAGTCAAATAATGTACTTGATATCAATTATGTTTCAACAATAAAAACCACAGAACATAAAAGTGTTTATTACTTACGTAGTTTCCTTAAGAGAGAAGGAATCTGCATGCTCAGGGATCCCGTAGACATGCTTGGAGTTAATAAAGGAGATGTCCATGCCCACTGAGGCAGGACCATGAGGCTTGGAGTCTGTGTGACCCTTAAACGTCTCCTCCCAGAGCCCATTGGCATCTTCATCTTCCAGTGGTAATGCATTTCCAGGGTCCTCTCCTTCAGCAGGCTGGTCATTACTATAAGCAATAAAATATTTTCATGTTTACTGCTTACAAAGGATCTTCATTACTAAAGCAAGTAGGTTCAGAGAATCGAGAGCAAACATCCATTTCTCCCTTCATTCACTCGCACAGCTGTAACTTATCACAACAATAAGAATTTCACAAAAAAATAAATACAAATATACACAAAACTTTTCATAAATATTAGCCGGTCTTACACAAGTACTGTACTGTATATAGGCACCTGCATTTCTGCTAGGGTTGGACAAATAGAAAATGATTCATGCCATGGTTTAAGCCTCAACTTATGCATGGGAATTAAGAGAAAACATGACTTGGCATCCCTCAGTCTGTAGCAAATTATTATTCACTTCCAGTATCCTCTTTCCTCATAAAAGCTACTGAACTTTTTACTACAGCAGAAAAAAATTGTCTAAAAAAGTTATTTTAAACCCCCCCAGAATATTTCAATATAGTTCTGAATGCACCAAACTCACCTCTCTGGTTTGTTACGGTAGTGTTCAAATTTCAGGAGGCCACGAGCATTGGTGCTGACTACAAGCTCCTTTCCATTATATACATCAATCTTTAGTGGCTTGGCTTTCACCACTGCACGATTTGTCCCAAACTTTACTGTCAAGCCATCTGACGAGCGATCAACCACTTCAAACCTGCAACGAGAATAAAGTTCTTCATCTGATTTTTATCCAGAATGGAAGGGAAGGACTAAATAAGAGTGTGATGTAATTTTATACTATTATCAAAGATACAAATGACCCCACCATCCACCATTAATATTAAGACTTTCACATAACCTAAAGGTTAAAGGGAAACCACACTTACGTCTCAGACTGGCCATCACCAGTTAAAGCATATGGGTCTTCAAAACGCTGCTTGATTGGATTCTTCTCATTGATCTTGATGCGAAGAGTCGAGTCTTTAAGCGGGTATATTTCAAGAATGAAAAATACTCTATTTTTCTCATTCAGCACATCTGCAAACACTCCCTCATCCGTTACACTAACAGTGTCAGTTAAGAGGAGATAGGGACTCTCTCCGGGTTTTATGGCACGGTGACGCCTGTAAAAAACAGAATAAGTAACTGTACATATAAAAAAATACTTAATACACTTAAAGGTTTCCATATTATCTAACTAGTAAGAGCAGGGCATAACATCTCTCTACACAGTTGATTTTACAAATTCTCCTCAATATACAGCACTAGAACTAATGTAATCTCAACCATCTGGCCACAGGTCTTTACATTGAAAAGTTGCATAAAAATATGTGAGAATTGTAAACTCTTGGAACAATCTGCCAGTGTTGTGACAGCACCGAGTGCGAGCTCTTTCAAAACCAGACTTGACCAACACTGACGCAGGTACAGATACATTCAGGAGTCGGTCCATGCCCATCACTTGCCAACAGTGTGTAACCGAGAAGTGACCAACTGCTCAATCAGCTAACAAACTAATCAGTGGCAAAGAGGATATAAGAGTACTGTACAGTACATGATTTATACAGTAACCACTGCACTTCTGAAAGGAAATTTCACATTTTTCAAAGAATACCTAATTATTCTTTGTTATTTAAAATTTAAAATAAATTAAATAAATAAGTAAATAAATGAAGATAAAAGGCAGACCTTACCTGAAACTGTAACCAAAATATGTGTATACAGCACAGTTCTGCCAGAGAACTCTTAATTTCATCTTTATACTAACCTGCAAAAACTGCTTTGTTGACATGTTTTGAAGTTATTTCTATCCACTGCACAGACCAGCGTTAACAATACTGCCGCAGCAACCAACCTGAAAAGGGAAATACTTTCAGTAATAATTATATTTAACCAATTCATCCTACAGCACAAATACAGCAATACAAATGGTTTTATAGACAAAATCTAACCTAACCAAATATATTAATACCAAAGCACACACTGTACTGTACAATGTGGCGACCTGTGGTGTAATGGTCAGCATGCTCGCCTCGCAAGCCAGTGGACTCGGGTTCGATCCCCGGGCAGGGGGAAACTATGGGCCAGTTTTTTTATGCTATTTGCCTTTGTCTACCCAGCAGTAATTGGGGACCTGGATGTTAATCGATTTCCAGATCGTGTTCTTGGGTAATGGTTAGCCAGTGCAGTTGGCGAGTTGTCCAGTCTTCATGAAATATTTATTGACACTGGGTTGTGCAACTCGTTAATTTTGGGTGCAGTTGTTGTGCTGGCGACAGCTTCTACACCTTAAACAAATTCACACCTAGGTGGCCCTAGGACCGGCTATCCTCGAACACGCGGGGCAACCATTGCTGTACAGTATCTAGTTTAGCCACAATCTCATAGTTAGCATGGCAGCAATTTACTCACTGCAGCTCTGTGAATGGTTACTTTGGTTCATTTTATGAATGATAAATTATAGAATGCATCCATATCTGGCACTTCAGGAAAGTTACAGTTGCCAGCAGTTACTGAAATGCGTCGTCGATACTGTACTGTACTGGGTAATTTATCATTCATAAAATGAACCACAAAATCTAACCAAAAATACATTTTACTTTAGTCTTCTACAACAACAAAATTATTTTTGAAGTTTGAACAAGAAACAAACATGGCAGACACTGTAAAGCCTCCCACACATAAATAGTGTTGTAATTATGTAAGATTCTTTGTGCACCTTTTTACCAGGTGATAATACCTGTTTATCCTACAGTTGGTAGTCAGGTAGCGCCCCTAATATGGACCATTACCCAATTATCGTAGAACAGTACTATGGTAGTTTTACTACCACCGGAAGGAATTGTTTGATTTTTTTTCACTTTCTCCACAGATGTTCATTATAGTAAGTATTTTTGATGAGGCAATATTTACTAGAACCTGACCTAACCAACCAAAGAAACCTACCTAATCTTACTTCCTAAGCAACGGGTCCCCCGACCCCCTGCCATATTAAACAGAAATTACTGTACCTATTTTGATATCTGGCACCAATGAAAGCAACTTTTTTGAAGCATCATGGTATAATTTTTCATTTTAAGTAGACCTGAGAGTATGCCCGGACCGAGCGAGTCGGTTGTAAAAAAACAGACAACACAGGGTAACTCGGTAGAATTTTTTGGAGGAATATTTACGGCAAACACTGCAATTATTTTCTTCACGTACAAAGCACGTAGAAACATCATTTTAGTTATAAGATCAGTTCCCACAATTTCCTTCATACTTCATGTCCTGCCCACTACAGTGATTTACGACTGTAAATCATAAATCACCTCTTAAAATACTAACTATAGTGATAGGAACATTGGTGAAAAAAGTAACAAAATTGAACAACTCCTTCTAGTGGTAATGCTGTTCTTGGACATTCCCTTTTTCTTTTTAAATATTACCTTAAGTAATTGATGATGCTTTATTTAAATGGAATCTCAGCTTCATTATGGATTCTATGTACTGAAGTTTTATTTCGGTACAGAAGAAACAATATTCCCGAGGCTGCAGAGTATAAAATGTGCAGTACGTATTCTGTAATTTGTTAAACGAATTTTATACCATTTTCTTCAATTCTGATTCATACATTAAAGTGACCTGCTTAAAGACAACATGTTTACACTGTACAGTATATTGTGGTGTTCATTTTGTCCAATACTTTAGAATCTGTACCCTGTACTATCAAGTATTTCTTAGTGATCAAGTATTTTTGTATTTTTAGGTAAGATTAGGGTAGACTAAAGATATCCTTGGAGACTGCATGCAACAGGAGAGGTAATGAATTATATATGGGAATTTATCAGATAAACATTAGAAGGCTAAAAGTTCCCTCACTATATATACATTAAATTATATTCTCGAGCAAATACCAAAGACGAACAACCCCATTACAAAAGGTGCAAGCCTAAACACCAACAATTACTTTGAATGTACTTGTTAACTGATCTGACACCTGGGCTTACAAAAAAAATTACAATCTAGTTAGAAAACATTATATATACCTAGGCTTCTGTATCTTTTAATACTTAGGCAAAATAATACAAATCATCGAACTGTGAAATTAGTAGGAACTAAGGTGTGCTTCTGATGCCTTACTAGAACTTAATTGACTGTCCCTATACTTATAAGTAGTAATAACCCAATAAAAGAAGTATCCATCATAAAGACGACCTGGGTACACATTGTTAAGACCAATAACAACACCAGTTTGTCCCTGAAGCCGGTCATAAACACTCACCATTCATCACTACGGACACACTCTCTTCTCTCATCACCAGAGGAGGAAGAACACAACTGATTTATTTAGGAGAGAGATAAATGTAAGGTTAAATTAATAAGAAACAAGAGATATAAGGTGAGAGGATGAGTCTGACACCTACCTCGGGAGCGTGGCCATGTTGTTGTTATTTGGAGGACGCTGATTGGTCGAGAGGTTAGCTAAGACGCTGATTGGTCGAGAGGTAAACTACTGTCAACCGAGAACCTTTAATGACTTACCACTATTTTATCATTATTATATTTACCTATTAAATTTAGGCCATAATTCATTTATAGATAACCTATTTATATTCATATTGTTAATAATATATATTTAATTTTATTTTTATGATGGTGGTTATGGTTATTATCCTTTATCATTATTATATATGTGTGGTAAATTCTTTTAAAGTTGTAAAATGAAGAAACGATTAACAGTAAATTATGACGTATTCTTCATTTATTACATTTTTTTTAATCATTATAGTTTCATCTGTTTTATTTTTTCCATTTCTGTATTTATCTATGATTAATCTCTGTAGAAAAAACTATTATCCTTTTCACCATTAGCTTGTTATATGGTCGGGCGGCCAGTGTCCTAAACTGTTAACTGTCCCTACTCCGACCTGTCCTAACTGTTCCTCTCCATACACTGACCTGCCTTAACTGTTCCTCTCTCCATAATCTAACTTGCCCTATTCCTGCCTGCTTGGATATTAGCCAATGTTTTCTTGGGTGCAATGTATTCAGGTTATTCCATGAAGATTACTATACATTGCCATGTAGACTAAAACTCATTGTTTTGAATTTCACAATCTGGTGAAATTTCTTAGCTTTATGTAACCCCCACAGATACACTCAGCCTTATTTACAGATGTTCTTGTTAGATTTAATTATTTGCAGCTACATCAATAGGTTGTAATATGTAACCCCAGAATTTTTCTCATCCTTTTATTCATGAGATAGGTTGATGATGAGCGTAAAATTTTAAGTTTCTCATTTCCTTATACAGTAGCTATGTAAGGATTACATAACCTCAAAATTTCTGTTGATACTCCTGTCAGGATACTGTACTCTAATTTACCCTCGATGTTCCAGTATAACTGTTATAAAATTTATAACAGTATATACAGTACTGTATTGGAATTCATTACTTTTCAAGAACCTTAAATTTACTCATTGGAATATTTAAACTTAAGTAAAACATTCCTGCTATTGTCTGTACTGTAATGACACAGATTTTTTGTGGTTGACCTCATTTTGTGTAACATGGTAGTACAATATTTATGGATACACCAGTAATTTATATCATTTGGCTGATGACTTCTCTGTGCCCCTCACACCACCTATCATTAATGTATGGGTTGACAGCAATTACCTGATGGCAGCTCTCTCATTTCTAACAGAATCTCCTCATGTAATTCTTGGCCTACCCCGAACTCTCTGCCCCTGCACTTACTGTATAGACCTCTCTAGCTCTTGCTTGACTCAATTGGTCTCCATTCTTTCCACTTGCCCAAACCATCTCAGCCTACCTCTACCAATACAGTACTTTCTATACCCAGCTGTCCTCCTAACTCTGAACAGGGTTTCCTGTCTTTCAGTTTCACATTGTGCAGCCACCTCACCATTTTCATTTCAGCTTGCTGAAGCCTGCATAAGTTATCCTCTTTAACTGTCCATGTTTTATTGGCACACAACATTCCACTTTTCATGCCGGTTATATGCATCTTTCCTTTCACCTGAAGGGAAGATCCTCTTGCTGTCAATAAAGGTAATATCTCCCTAAACTTCCACCAGCCACTTATGACTCTTGCAATTGAGCCCAGCTTCAGCACCACCTCCAGTACATATCATATCACTCATCGACATAGTTCAGGGTTATATTTTTAATGTCGAGTGTCTCAAGCCTTTCTAAGGCCACATGATTGCTTTTGTTGTAACTAAATTCACTTTCAAGCCCTTTAACTCTACCATATTCTCCTATTTCTTAAATTTGTCCACTGTCTCTTCAATACTACATGCTCCCAGCACAAAGTCACCACCTTACAACTCCCAGGGCAGTTCAGTTCTAATGTCAAGTGATAGTGTCACTTGCACCATGGTTAACAAAAGGATGCTCAGGACAGACCCTTGACTAACCCCCTATTTTCACATCCTATCAGTGGATGAAACATAGAATCTACTATCCCTTTAACAAATATTACCTAAAAAATGTAGAATATTGAACACATAATGCCTCGTCTGATATGTAACTTTTACAGTGTCTTGCCGTTACTCTTTCTATGAAGACGGAGATGGAGAAAGTTGAAAACACTGGATGATGGCTTATATGTAATTATAATAAACATGATAAAACAGCAATATTCTGTAAAGCATACAAACATAACACATAGTTGAGTAGGAATTAAAATTATAAAAGCACATCTGGTGCTGATTCTTACATAAAAAGATTTCTGCTCAGACCCAAATTAAATTACAAGAAAAATAATTTACATTTCAGGCAAACTGGTCAATGCAAATTTCACCATTTACATTATACACAATTATTTGTACAGTACATTTCAAATGTGTATGATGTCCACATGATAATAAAAAAACATACCAAGAAATTCTGATGAATACAAAAATAATCTACAAAAAATCTCTTGACAAAAACACTCTTAACCAATTCCTTTGTTGTCAGGTTTACTGTTGAATATACCAGCAATATGATCAGCAAGCTGTGAGAGGAGGGAAGGCATCTTTTTTGCTGACGACCACTTTACGGTGAGCATGGGAGATGTAACCCTTCATGCGACCGTCGTTGATCATGTTGGCCAAGATGCATTCTGTTTCATCTAGGTCGACGTCCTCTACACACATCCACTTGAGAGATTGCAAGAACATGGCAACCTCAATCTGGTGTGTGCCACTGATGTGATAACTGTTGGTAAAGCAATTTACATTTAGAAATTAAAAAAAAAAAACCCTGCTTAATATAAAATTTTACACAAAAAATGCACACAACTATTTTATAAGTGCACAGGGATAGGGAAGGTACTTTTGTAACACTCTAATTACAGTATACAGTACTTTTAAAATTATTTTAAGGTCATGGGATAATATTAATCTGCCATCTAAATCTGTATCCTTTAGGTTACCATCTCTCTACAGGACACTTCCCTAATCTTATTATTAATCTTGGTAGTTCACTTTTGATGTATGCTCTGATGCCTACTTGGAAATCCAAACTTGCCTCCCAAGCTCCATTAGTCTCAAATGTATATGTATAACCTGATTACATACTGCCATTTGGCTTATGTATTGTGTGCTGGAACATAGCAACCAACAACTACTTACACTTTCTTGAAGAGGTTTCTGAATGCCAAAATCTTTAATTTCTCAAGAATCAAGTAGATTCCTGCTCCTATGAAGAAGCTTTCATGTTTTGCTAGTGTCTCTGAAAGAAGCCTGACATTTCCCTGGCGAACAGATGCAACTACATCATGGAATTCTGACAGGTTGTATCTTTCCAGCACTGATTGTTTCGGTAAATATCCCTGAAAAAGAATAAAAAAAAAAAGATATATATATATATATATATATACAGTATAAACAGGAATATCATATCCTCTATAGAATATAACTTTACATGTACTGTACCGTATTATACATTCTGTGAGATTAAGAAAAGAATAATGAATTCTATGGTTATGATATTCTCACACAATGCATCCTTATGTTATCATCCTTTTTGTTAATGACACCTTACTGCTCCTGGGAGCTCCCCAGTGACAGTGACATTAGTAAATTCAGGATGCCCTACCATAATAAATATTTGCTGTTACCATTACTATTCAACTTCTCCCCTGTTCTTACCTTAACTTATTTTTCCACCTTTTCCTCCCATGATATACTGTACAAGTCTCTATCAAGTTCAACACCCTGTTAAAGTGCCCCTTAACTGGTACACGCTCTCTGCCTGTGTGCTTCTTATGTGTTCATACCATCTCAGTGAACCTCTCCTTAACCAATCTACCACTCCAAAATTTACTCCCGCTGCCTACCATGTTCCAGTTTGTTTTAATCCATATGTATAATACCATTTGGATTGGTAAATACAGACGAGACCATTTAGAGTGGAGGACTGTGGTTACCAACCCTCAGCTATGAGGATGGTACTTTGATTGATTGATAATACTAATTAATAATAAGGTGAGTGGACTAGCAGCTTTAGTTAGAAAAAAACAAAGTTTGCCAGAAGAAATGCTCAATATATGTCACCAAACCCAGTAAATTCAGCAAACTTGTTTTAATAGGATATCAACTGAACACCTCTTAACAAGATCTCAAGACCTACCCGTAGCATTTTTACAGGAATCAAGTAGATAAGAATGCGCCTTTTGTTTTTCCGACTGCCAATGTGGCACCTTTGGAAAGCGAATGACAATGTTGAATCAGCTGAAAATAAAGCAAATGGATTATCTTATGTCATAATTATGAGGCAGCATTCACAGAACGCAACTAGAGGAAATGGGAGATAAGACAGGATAATGAGTTTAGTCTGAGCAGCTAACATTAGAGTGGAATTCTTTGACCCATCATTATAATACTGTATAACTAAAATTATTGCCCATTTTTTTTAGTAAAACACATTTACAAAATCTTGAATTAAAAACATTGCCAAAAGTCAGTCAAGGCCATCAGTCATGCAAAGAAAAAAATAGGAAAAATAATAGATATACAATATAGTAAATTACCTGACTTGAAATCTGAATCAAACATGTCTTTTCTGCCTGTGTAGTATTTATATGTGATTAGCTGAGACAGAGAAAACCGATCTTTAAAAGAAAGAGCCTCAATAGCTCGTATCATTGGTTTACACAAGTTGAGTTTGTTGATTTTGAAGTATATCTTGAAAAACTGATTAACCAGGTACAGAAGACCCCATCGCTTAGTGCAGTCTTCACCAGTACGTCTGTAAGTAAATATTTAAGGAAATGGCTAAACATTCCATAATAAGAGTTAGCACCTCCAATTAGACTTGATACTATTACAGGCACTATTCAATATTTTCATGGATGAAGTAGTTAATAAGAGATGAAAACAGGAGTAATGGATTTGGGTACATATTGGTAAAATTACAGATAACTTTACTCAAGTGGTTAGTGGGAGATATATGACTTCTGTATGGGGCTAGCGGGGTGGAAGCAATTTTGAAGCCAATATAAAATTTAATACCTAAGCACACAAACCATAATGCCAGTGTTTAAGTTGCTGTGTGTAGTAACTGTTAAAAAGTTATGATAGTCAATATATGAGTCTTTTATTTTATGTTCTATGTAAAACTATGGGTCAAAGGGAAAGATTGGACCTACCACTGCAAGAAGGTGACTTAGGAAGAAAATTACAAATGTTACATGGATGAAGTGAATGCAAACAAAATTAAAGTTGTGAAAATAAGTAGAGAGACAAGGAGAACTGGATTGTTAGTTTTAATGAAGATAAAATGGAAAAGTGTTTCAGATATTTGGGAGTGAATGTGTCAGTAAATTGAAAGGATGATTGATGAAGTAGATCACAGAGTAGCAGAGAGAAGGAAGGTAAGAGGCACACTGTGAGATGTATGGAATGAGAGAACCATACAAAAGGAGACAAAGATGGGGTTGTACAGGGAAAGTGTTGCAACAAGAAGGTTAACTAATCTAATAAGTTCTAGTCAGGGATTCTGGGAACACCGGGTTTAAAGCCTAGCATTAACTTGTAAATTAAGAAGATGGATCATTTGACATAGAGAATAGATAGATCTCTTGCCCTCTGGTAGGTAGTAATGTATAGTACTAACTTGGGAAGGGGCTCAGATTTGTAAGAATGTAACAAGTGATACAGAACTCTGAGCTCCATACAAAGTTGATTATTTCTTAAATTAGTCTATTGTATTTGTGTAATTTTACTCAATGACAGCACAAATTCTTGGCCTGGAAATATATCATAACAGTTATCTCTGATCAATGAACTACAAATACTATGTCAGTACTAAATAAATGGCTTTGATTAGTTTAAGAGAAAATAGATCTTTCTGGGGCACTTCTACCACCTGGACTTTTCTTTCATTTAATACAGTATTGTACAGGTATCATCAAAATAATTTTTTTTTTAGGTATCTATCAAGATTTTTTTTTTACATAGGACACAACTCAAGAGAACTTACGTATCTGCAGCACACACACGAAAGCAAGACATGAGGGCTTCAGCTGACTTTTCCAAGGTTTCCCCAGCCTTGCTTGTTCCTGAACGTGTTAGCTCATAATCTGCTGCCAATGCAAATAACCTGTGATTGAGTTGCAGTAATTAGCAAAGAATCAGTGAGTGTTAAAAGTTATTTCATCTTTTCATTATATAAACTCACTAAAAAATATTCTGCACCCTTGGCTCTGAAACCATCCCCAACGATCACTGATAGAAGCTGTCATGAGTGTTATCAGATTTCTTGATCCAGTGTATCATATTGTATAACCCTGTAAAAGTGTAGAATAATGTTTTAGTGAGTGTATAACAAATTTCCACCAATTGGATTTAACTAAAATGAAAATCTGGACCCCCACTTGACCACAATACAGAGATCATTCTACTGTACAGTATAATGTTTGAGATTCTTCCTCACAAGAATCAAAATGATTTTGGTTATGTATTATATATACTATTTGAGAGCACAGTACCATCTATTCCAGTATTTCTATAAAAAAACAGTCATAATTCCTCACAGCAACAAAAAATACATTACTGCACTAATTTCAGATGAAGTCTACATAACTCCCATCCATGCAGCTGCAAATACTAACTTTCCAATAGTCCTTTCACATTTTCTGTGAAATACTGTACCCCCCTTTGTGAAACAACTAATCTTTATCAATTAACCTGCACTGTGCTTACCAGTTCTAGAAAAAGTTGTTCTCACAGGTCAAGAAATATTATGGGGTTTAAATGGTGCATTTTGTTGTCAATAGATTGAAAACTTGCATAATTTTGTGCTGTGGGCTTTAAACTTCCCGCTATGCATCAATATGTGTGTTTGTGTCCCCAGCATTTCCCCCAGGCCTTTCATACAAGAGAACCAAATGAGAAAGTAAAATGATTTTCCTCTACTTTGCATTTACAGTAAAATAATAATAATAATAATAATAATAATAATAATAATAATAAATTATTTCCTTTGCCCCATTACTCACATACTCTAGGAAAAATATGTAATAAATAAAAAATTAAAAGGTTCTACGAATTTATTTTACGACGGTGAATTTTTTAATATCAAATAAAAACGACCACACAACAGCAACAACGTGCCTCAACTGTCTGGCCTGCTTGACCAAACATAAAATGAGATACAGTATATATTTTAGTTTTCTTCCAATAAATTGGATTTTGTTGTTGTTTTCTACCTACTTACATAAAGTTTATTTATTTCTATCTATTTATATAATTTCTCAAGAAAATATAGCACAAGCTAATTATAAGTAACTTGATAATGACAACACCTCTAGTCTTGCATGTATCACCACACTACCTCACACCACCAAAGCAATACACTGTTCTTTGTAAGTTAGACCCAAAAGAAACATGATGCAAGGCAAAGACATTATTTCCTCATGATCAAGGAAGAGGAAGGAATCAATCTGTACCTGGGGGATGGACCCATGCCGAGACATGTTGCACAATTTACTCAGAGGCTGGATGAAAGTTTAATGACCAGGCTGTGGTGTGTCAGGGCTACACTCAGTTCTGTCCCTTAAATCCCAACATCTACCCCCCCTTCCCCCCCTCCACTCACCCAGGCACCTGAAAAAGTTGCCATTAGTTCCATTTTTACTTATTGAGGCAGTAAGCTGTCACTAGCGAGCGTGGGAGATTTGTAAATACATTGACATTTTAAAATAGTGAGCACACTCCTGTTGTTTTAAAACGGTGGAGACACATTAAGGGTTAAAAAGACATATAAGTTGGGCCCAAACTAATGAAATTTCTAGTAAGGAGATAACATACTGTAAGACTTCTGGTTAACCAGGAACAGTTGTAGAGAGAATGTGAGCCACCCTCTGAGAATATTGGTTCACAACCACCTGAAAGTGATTCAGATTCAATAAATCATCTAAGTACAGTCCAGGTAGATGATAAAAAGAACACTCTTCAGGAGGATATCCAAGATGGCCACTAAATTCTTGAAGCTAATTTTAGACTGAAAGGTAAACTGGTAAAAAATCTTTCCTTGACTGAAGCCTGGGGAACTTCCATTTACTCTTAACAATAAGAATCTGCCAAAAGGTGTACAAGAGCTACTCTATCAAAGGTACTGTACAGTACATGGGGTATAAGGTAATAAAATGTAAAGGTTTAAACAATCTGCTAAATATTTGGTCCACTAAATCTCTATTACAGTACTTCCAATGATAATTGTTTAAATTAGAACAAACAAGTTACATTCAACAAGAGCATACCCGGTACCTTAAATCAAGACAAGCAGTATACATGATTGGCAGCATCCACCTCTCTTCCTTTAGCTCCTGCATGAAACGGGCAACTGCTTGTACTATCACCATCTGAGTTTTCCAGGCTTCAACACAGTCCCCAGACCCAGCAGCCCACACTGCCCTGCCAACCAAAAAATATCAATGTATTAAGCTTAAAATTATAATATATAAAATAAAATAAAAAAATTATGCTGATATTGCTGAAACTATCTATTGGTTTGTTACGTTTACTTAAAAGTTTTGTAGTACAGACCTAAGGTGTCCAGCAATAAATTCAGCCAATGATGGGTCTACACACCGCTCCACATCTCGCTCTGGCTTCTCCAGCATCAACCGTGAGCTCATAACATGTGGGTCCCGAAAGGAAATGAGATCCTGGTGAAGATGAAGAGAATTATGGAACAAGTTTTTATTGTAAGTACAACAGTCTAGTGAAATACTGTTCACTACATTATTTTATTTGTTTTCCATATTGTTATCTAAGAATGTAACATACAGCATACACAAACAAGATCAAGTCTTATGTACTGTACCGTACTAAGTAATTCAAGCAATACAGTACATACCGCAAGGCCATCTCCATTTTGGTGATAAAAACATCCTTGGACCTATTTGGAAGAAAAATTTTCTGTATTATCACATGCAGCTTCCATGACAACTTCAAGCTATGAATTATAGATTAATCTTCAAAATGGAAAAATTTACAAAACCTCATCACTTTATAGGCTATTCTTGAGGTAAGAAAGTTATTTTTTATACAAAAATTTCCTGAAGCTACTAGCTAATCCCCCTCTTATTCCAGAGGTCGAATAAATGATAACACTTGACGACAGTTGTGCATCTGAACCACCAATTTGAGGACATTCATCAAGATAAATGCTTCCTTGCCACATGAGAAAGACATACCCGGTAAAGTGAACAAGGAATATATTTTGCATAGTATAGTTTTTAAGATTTTACAATGAATAAACTACTGTATAGCCGCAACATACAGGCTCCGTCCACTATGTTTGTTTGATCCACAGAATGTTTCTGGGATGACTTACTTGGTTTCTTTCATAGAAATATATATATACAGTGTATGATTATAGAAGATAACTAGTATTTTAAGTTAGGTAGATTAGGTTATGTGGTAATACTGAAGCAGATGGCTAACACCAAAAGGGATGAGAAGTCACTGCCGCATTATCACCGAGAAGACAAAGTAGTGTGCGCCTCGGAGCCTAATTATCTACCAAACGAAGCATTTGCACAAGAAATTATATCATATCACAACTCACTGATGAAAATGAAGTCAGAAAGTAAACAGTAAAACAAATAACTTGTCCCGGGGCAGTCGTCAATATTAACAGGGAAATGGGTATTATTTTCTTGTAGCTCCGTTCATTCCTACCACTAATCTATTATCATATTCGAATAAGACGTCTAATTATAAGATAATTTTCATCTATTACATTACCGGCGGAAATGCATAATAACGGAGATAGCTCTTCCAAATTTTTTTCTATTTTCTTCCATTAAATCGCGCCATTATCGTCTGCCTCTCCTCCAACACTGCGTGTCTCCTGCGTCCCCTTCATAAATCATCCTGCGCATGCGCTTCTGTACAAGTCATGCGGCCGATCAAAAGCCTTTTTTATTTTGAAACCAATTAAAATGTTTTTGGGTTTAATTTGCAGTATTTTTGGCCCAATCAAATTCGAGTATTCTTTTTGGTCTCTCAGATTTTGAAATTCAAGTTCAGTTCCGACCATGGAAGTCTGCGATGGATGTCACTTAAAGTATATGGAGCTGAGTGCGAGTTTTTGGGAAAATACGAAGAAACTTTCATTTTTTCGATCGCATGGTGTTCTTCCAACCTTAGTAAAGTGTACTAAGAGCAAAACTGAATGTAAATATCGCAAAGACCAACATATGTGACGTTGGGTAAGAATCCAACGACGAACAAGAACCAGGCCAATAAGGTAAGAAATAGGTGATTCCATCATATGGTGAGTCAGTTAAGTTAGGTTAGGTTAGGTTAGGTTAGGCTTGGTTAGGTTAGGCTTGGTTAGGTTAGGTTAGGTTTGGTTATTGTTTTTCTAGTGTTTTATTGTGTATTTCTTAGTCGCTTAGGCACTTTTTCTTCTCGGAAAACGTCAAACGAAAAAAAAGTCGCTAAAAAACCGGCTAATTTCCACCAAAAAGAAAGGTCATATTCGGTCTCAGCACACACAAATACACTATAAAAATATAATTTTAACTTGCTACAAGTGAACGGAGCTACAAGAAAAATTTACCAGAAAATGTTCTCAATACAGTAATTTCAGGCACACTATCTAGGCACCTTATTTTTATACAGTATATACACAGCCTATGTACTTAATTTGTATTACCTGTAGTGTCTATATGCATGCTGAATTAATGTAATATTATATGACGATTTTATTGCCTAAATATACTGCATATTTAAAATGTACGCGACGTTTTACTAACAAATGAAAATGAAAAGTCTCTTCACCGCCTATGTATGGCTGAGACTGTTTAAACTACAATGAAATATAACATTACCCTTTGCAGGTAATCATTTAATGTCATCCCTGCCATGGTCACGAGGCTCAGATCCACCACTCTTGTCAATTTAACAGTTAAGTCTCCACCGCCTCCAGGTTCTCTAAGTGACTCCACCTGCTGCCCTGTGTTGTTGGTGGTCATTCGAGTTAGATCACCAGGGTAAAAAAAATAAAAACCTTTGGTATATCATAGAGTAAAATAGGTTAAATATTTCACGCAGAAAATTTAGATGAGTACATGGACTTCTAATTATATAATGTATTGATCAATGACTAACATACATGAAATCTAAAAAAAAAAAAATTAACTGTGAACGTGTATATGTTGTATGTATATAAAGTGTACATTTTTTTATATATAATATTATACCGTAATAGTAATAATATTTATTCATTAAAATTGTCATACTGGCTTAAAGTACATACGGAACTTCTTTCTCAAGTTGATCTTGTGTTTTTTTAACACGTCCATGTCGTCCTCACATTACGGAAGCACCATTATACCATTGCCACAGTATGTTCTTTGATGTCAGTTACAATTTGTATAACAATATCCTTCGTGGTCTGAATTGTTTTAGTTGTATCTGAACAGGGGTGTAGGATGCAGTCCCTGGAATTATTTGAAAAATGTTACAAAGCTTTACGCACTGTTGGCAAGTCCTGGGCACACACTGGCTCCTGGATGTATCTGAAGTTCTGAACCTGCTCCAGTCTCCAGTGCTGGTCTGGTCTGGTCTGGTCCTGAATCGGCTCGCACTCGGTGACGTCACAATACTCTCTGGCACTTCAGCTACCCTGAGAGATTAGAGCACCTGAAATTGCCTAACTTATACTACAAACGGGCAAGGAGGACCTAATTGAGGTGTATAAGCATCTCAAAGGGCACTACTCAGCTCTTACCTGGAGCTGGTGGACACTCGCCTGTGGGGTTATGAGATATTGGTTCACACTCAGGATGGGTTGGAGAAAGGAAACTCACAATGTGCTCTCTGTATACATATTGTATTGGATGTACAATACAGCTTGGTGCTGGGGGGTGGCAGCGTGAGTCCAAAAAACAAGCGTGGTGTAGGAGAGAGCTGGTTGGTGAGGGTGCTCAGAGGAGGACAGCCATGGTCGACGGCAGGAGCGGAGGAGGAGGTGTTGCTTGCTGTTGGCTGTAGGTAGAAAGAGGTAGGTCACGGCCACGTGGTCTTATATAGCGGGTGGATAGGCGTGGCTTGATAGTTGACCTCCGCTATGTTAGGCAGCGCTGGTTGCCAACCTTGACCACGAGGCGTACGAAGAGGGTCGGCTCAGTGACACACGGCGTTTGCAGGGGAGGAATCCACTACACGCCCCTCAGGGGGTCACAGCTCAGAAAACTGTGAGGGGTAACTTTTTGGAATTGACGAGCTTTTCATTCTGATGGAAACAACGAGCAGAGTGGATACCGGAAATTTCTTTTCTGGCACCATTTTACGATGGCATGCATTATTTGTGGTATTTATGTACAAACTTTCAAGATGTTTACTCTGCACAATTGGGAACAATTGTTTTTGCTTGTTACTGGGTGTAGAATAAATATATTAAAAAATTTATTTATATTTTATTATTACTGATAGTTTTCAGAAACTATACCTATACTGTACCCTGTTCACTTAACCCAGACATCTGGAGCTTTGAGATGTGAAGAAAGCTGCTCATTCGATGATACAATAGTGGGGAATTTCGTAAATCTACAGCTCATTTCACTGAAAACTCTGTTTTATGAATTTCTGAAAGCAGAGTATCTACTCACAGAATGATCAACAGTATCTACTCATTGCTACAGTATCAGTACCTCTCCATTTCAAGGTCAACAGTAACTACTCAGACCAAGAGTATTAACTCAAACATCAAACATCTTTTCCTCAAAATCACTTGCCAAGTGGTGCTCCTCTGCTCATTCATGCACATATCTACTCCCTGATGTCCATCCCTCTCGCCTTTAGTGTCCTTCACTTCTATCATTCTATCTTCTAGGGCTTCTCTTCACCCTACCATCCACCATGAATTATACACTAAATATACAGGTATATCACAAGGCTTGTTGATAAAAGCTTGATTTTGCAGCAAGACATCTTAAAATTTAAGTGGTCAAGGGTAAACTTAAACAATGTTTATCCATATATCTCTTTTATTTCCATCTTTATAACAAATGTGTCATCAGACACCGCTGTGAAAAGTCTAGGATTGTGGAAATCTGTTTTACAGCACAAACATTACACCCAAATCATATTTGGTAAAAGGCAGCAATCATAATTCTCTTTTCAAAACAACCAACCACCACATTGGGTGGTCCTCCTCACAGCCGTGTCGGTGAATGAATATAATTTGTACTTAAAAACCATGAATTTACAAAAAATGAACTCCACAAACATCTTCATGATGTTACCTCAGGCATGAGCAATCCAACTTGTATGAAAATGGAGCGCCAATATTTGGTTACCATTACCAGTGATTACAAGCCTTAAAAAAATTACCATTAAAAGATTATAAGATTTATTTCCCTGTGCCAATACTATCTTGTACCTGTAGTACAAGAGTCCCAGACAAAGATGTTAGGCATAAACTTCTGGTCCTGAAGTTAACTGTATGAAGATGATCTTGTCTGGGCACCCTTGTACTTTGACAGAGAAAGTAAACCTCTCCCTTTACATCTTGAAATTTTAATTTCTAACAAACTAGGACTTTGAATAAAAGCTATAAATTAATCTGTACGGCTAATCACCGATACATACTCATCACAGAAACTAATGTTCAACTTAAAAATAAAAATTTAAATTTTTAAAAATTAAAAAAAAAAAATAGATAATTGAACTTTGCATTCTCTACTAAACATTACAAAAATTAACTAACTATAATTGTAATTTTCTTTTTCAGACCATCACTGGCACTGCCTCAATTGGTGCATCAACATTCAGGTTCATTGGGTCAGGCGCGGAGAGAGCTCTACTTCTACGTGATTTTGAGGTCACGTTTTGCTTGGCAGTGAAATTGGGTGCAAAACAAGTTCATTGGCAAACATGCACAAAAATTGTCTTTAAAAGCTTCAGCAGGTAAGTATACTTAGTATGATATATACTATACAGGAATTGAAACTCATTAAACCCCAAGCTCTGCTGGCTCATACATAATTTGTGCCCACACTATGAACAAAAATTATTGTAATTACCAACAACAGGCTCTATACAAACCAGGCACTGGGATCACAGGTATTCGAATATCGAATAATAATCTTCAGGCTGGTCTGTTTGGCATAGCCCTAATAATAACAAGGTTTATAAAGAAAATTCCTTTTCAGTGACTAAATGCAAAATGTTGAACAACCACTTTCACCAATTGGTTCAACTACTACATACACTCTCCAACATTATCAAGACCTACTTACTGTAAGGGTCCATTTGAATTCATCCATTGACAACTGTAGACTAGTCATGATCTTCAAATGTGACATCTACATATGCTACAGTTGACGAGGCTGAGGTCAAGTAATAAGGCATCTGAACTGGCGAAAGCGGTTGAAACCTGTTTTATGATCACTTATTGGACGAATTGTTAAAATTAAAAAATTCATTTCTCAAGAACTGTCAATTTGACAGCATGAACTCCCTTGGCACAAAAATAAATTATCTATTGTTTAAAGCGAGTATAATTTCATTATTTTGAGTCCACTGGGAAAAAATGGAAGGATGGAAGAGTGACTGCATTCAGCAATCAAGAGACTGCAATGGGCAATCAAAGCACATGCTTGTGGACCACAAAAAATTATGATACACCACTTGCAGTGCATAGGAAAATAAGTACCGTTATAATCATTTAAAATAAAAGATTATAGCAGTAGCTTCAGGGACAAAGTTACCTATGCGGAATGCAACATGAACTGCATCAAACAATACGCTTTCATTATTGATAAACAAGAATGTAGCCCAGGGCACAGGGCAGGAAGTTGACATGCATAACAAAGCATCTGACCAAGAACCATGGACTCATGGCAACATCTCGGATCTTTCACCGATGCTAACTTACAGCTGGAAGAAAGCTCGCATGAAAATTTACTGGCACATTCCAGGTCTCTGTACCACATTCTAAATACAATATAATAATCAGACAAAATGCCAAACTGAGATGTGTCCTGAAACACATAATTCCCTATATAAATATTCTACACTGGTATCATTTGCCAGCTGTCAACTCTTTACTACATATAAATATCTTCATTCCTGGAAATAGTTTCCACGTAGACTATACAAACCATATCAAATGGAAAAAATATAAGGATTCTAGCATTACATAAAACCAAGCTTTGGTCTATAAAACTTGCCATAGAAGAATGGAAAAAGCTTTGTCAAATCTCGTTAAGTCCTTCACAATGAAGTGCAGATTCACATGAAATCAGATGCTAAAATTACTGTCTGACCAATAGCCCAAGACTGGTAAAAGTATTCTCTAAGCGGAAAATGAGAATGGTCAACTTAAGAAAAAAATTAAACTTCAAACTCAACTTAAATAAAAAAATAATCATTTGCACCTATTACCTGCAAATAGACACCAATAAAACTAAATTTGAACTGTACAACATTAATAAATGGTTGTTATTGAAGATTTTCTTATTATATCTTTCAGGTGTGATATAACTCAAAAGTTCATAGGACATTAAGTCTAGTTAAGGAAAACATTAATTTGAATGACTGTAAAGCTGTGGAAGGAATCCGTGACAAGCGATCAAGGTGGTATCCCGTTATTTACTTCCAAATGATACCATCAATTTCATAGAGGCCTTTAATGCAAGGTCAGAGGTAACATAGAATGGTTAGCATTATTTTAACCAAAATCTCTTCAATTGTTCTCAGAATACACAAGAAAATATGGTAAAAGGTCCTTAAACCAATGTCAAAACTTGATAAACAAGTTTATCATTCAGTTAAATATTAAGAATCTGGAGTAAAAAATCCAAGACATGCATATTCTAATTAAAATTTTAATTGGTTGGCACAGATACCTTCTTGCAGAAATGAAAATGTAAACTTATGAAGTCTGAAGATGTGTGCCTGACCTAAGAAGCCTAGCCATCGTTGTTTTAATTTTATGTAAAGAATACACTAAAATTGCCACGAGGGAGCTTAGCCTCTCTCATCATAGGGTACACTGCACGATACCAATGCCTATGTTTCAAGTTTCGAACAAATCTGTCAGGTTGTTTTTGATGCCTAGGTGTACAAGATAAATGTATACATACAAGACAATTATCATTCTTCTGACCAGGGATACCTACTTAGGAGCAAAAGAAATTAATATAAAAATAAAAATAAAAAATATTCTTAAACGAGATCTCACAAGCCTTTACTAAAAACATCCTGGGCTAAACACTGCATGGTCAGAAATTAAAATCAAAGAAATCACTGAGGCCCTCTGTGGGATCCAGGGAGAACGTGTAGTCAGTGTCAGATATTGGCGGCTCTAGTGTGAGGAACGGTAGAGGTGAACCCGATGAACAGCTCAGCATCACATCTTCTGAATTACCTGCAATGACAAGTCTTGCAATCACATTTAAGAACCATATATGACATTTTACTTTACAAATATATAAATAAAATACATTTATTAAATAATATTAACCTAAACACCATCAAAACCAAACACCCAGTACCCTCAGTGTATGCGAATTCGCGTTTATGCGGTGACCACTATTTCTACTCGATTCAATTTATGAGTTAAGGATTCCATTGTGTGTTCTGTAGAAGATATGGCACACAAGTTTCATATTATATTATTTCTAAGCCACATTAGAGTATTTTAATGATTTTTCTACAACTTTTATAGCATTAATGCTCCAAAAATGGTTGTGTAACGTGGCAGTGTTGTGTGTCTACTGCGCTGTATGTGACATCATAGGACATGGCTGGAGTGGCGAGTCAGCCACTGCTTTATAGGATTTTATTATTTCTAACCAAAATTTGAGTACTGTATTGTAATTATTTTTCACAACTTTTATAGCATTACTATTGACTTAGTAGTTGTGGAACATATCCCAATTTTCCCCATAAGTTTAGGAATTCACTATAAAGGGGACCCTGACTTACAAACCTCCGTCAATATGAACGGGGTTTAACTTGAAATTTACAGTATTTTATTTCCCCGATGAATTATTTTTTACTTTAATTGTCTCTCTCTAAAGAATCTAGCGTGTGTAAACATCCCATACTTGTCCCCGCGAGATCAAAATTTTTGCGCACTGCATTCAAAACTCTGAATTACAGAATGTAGGTCGCACTCTTCCACTTATCCTTCAAGAATATATGTCGCAGTTATCGGGCTAATGCAATGAAACCTATATGATGATCTAATCTGACTTGCTTACTTGTAGCTTGATGCTGAAGTAGTTAAGAGCCAGATCATGCTGAATCCACTGGTGCTATGATAAACAACATAAGACACAGGACCAGGAGATCCAACACAACCTAGAACTTTTTAACCGATGACGTCTTCATAGTTCAGCGCTTCAATAATTCCTTCTCATAGTAGAGTAACAAGACATACTAAACAGGGATCTCATTACAGGCTAACCCAACCTACTCATTTTGTAGGTTAAGGAAATTATATTGCTTCACAGGTTAAATAAACCTATCCATCTCCCAACCGAAGTGCTTCCTCTGAATAACTGGCAAAGCATAATAACAAATTAAAGTTTATTTGGAAGTTAGGAAAAAGTTTACATGCAAAAGCTTTTCCCCAACTTCCAACTTAACTCTTAATCTGTCATTACACTTCATTGCCAATTATTCAGAGGCCAGATACTAAGGCTGGCAAATGTATAAACAGGTAGTCAGCCAAATATATATTTTCCTCTGAGCACTGAGATACATCATGTCCTGCCTATTGCAACAAAGGTTTGTATCCTGTTCAGCTATATAAAAAAAAAACCAACACAGCATTAGGGGACAAGCAGCAGTCACAACTGGGACAAGGAAGGAATTTTAAGAAAACTAACCTTACCCTTTAAATCCCCTTCAAGATAGAGACTATAATGTCATCACTTTAAATTTAGTCTGGGACAAGGAAGGAAGTTTAAGAAAACTATCCTTACCCTTTAAATCCCCTTCAAGATAGAGACTATAATGTCATCACTTTAAATATTGTCTAAGTAACACTATGAGAGCATGAAGTAACACTTATTTTATATTCCAGACAGCTTCATCTTTATTTTTATTAATGTTATTATACCAGTATTTTTATTTAGTTTACTACACATATCTACACCAGTACATCACTCTGAAGGTCTTACATTTCCTAAGAATTCACACTGAAAGTTAAACATATTGGTGTAAATCCATGAAGTGATTTAGTCTTGTATTAAATCCCTGTGAAGATCAGTTTTTCAACGAGATACCCTGGAAGTTGTCTAGTTTTACATAAAGAATACCACAACACAAACAGCCTGTATCCTAAAAAAGAAATAAATAATAAAAAACACCAATGCAGAATTGTTTATTTTTAAAAGAAAGATCTTCAACAGCAGCATGGAGCACAGAACCTGGAGGTAACTAACACTGTGATACGTTTAAAATGCCACTGTGGGCATACCACAGTGATAGTTCCTGCAGCTACTGAGCTCTTCCAATCCATCTCCTTGTGGCAAACAAACTGGTTTGAATCCTGAAGATATATGGATGTCACACATTTAAAAAATATTGATAGTAAAGTAATTAATGCAGCACAATTTTGTATGTACAACATTTGACATTTTTAAAGGGTTAGTCACTTTTCATACAAGGCTTTTATATAACAATAATGAAACTATCCTATAAACTTGTCTAAAATATATAATGCCAGACAAAGTTATTGCCATACTTTAAATTATACACTAGCACAATGACCATGGGTGTTCTTTTAGTCCTTTGAGTATGAGAGAAAACAAATATCTTACCCTCATTCTGGTCTTCCATTTGTAACTGGAGTTTACCCCCTACAGGTCCCAGATCTTCTGAACCAAGAATGAGAGCCTTACGGAGGCTGTCATCAACCAAGTCCAAACTTGACGATGGACCTAATAGATCTGCACTATCTGAGTCATCATCTCGATCAGGTAGTTCTGTTTTAATGGTTGTGAGGACAGGTGAAGTTGGTTCCTAAGGAAAGAAAAGAATATTTAGACACACATGTTCTAGGTAACAATAAATCATGTACATGTGGCTACAATATAAATGAAAGATATACTCTACCAAACTTTATTTCACATATCAACACTTCATAGTTATGGTATTTGTTCAAGCAACATGTTGTCAAATTCAGGTTTAAGTACAGTCGCTCAAAAAAGAATCTGAAGAATGTTGTTCATGACAATATGATACATCGAACCCATGTTTTTGGGACATGGTAGAGGACCAGACAACGGGTTGTATTGTTTGTTTTGACATCCTTCAGACCCCACTTTAAGATACTTATTTTGAGTGACTGCACACATACACAATCTTAAAGCAGGCCAATTTTATGTCCACCAGCAGGAGACAACAGGACTACAATGTCATTCAACTACAAAAAATTAAAACTCACAAACACCCTTACCTTCTTTGGTGTTCTTAACACAGGTTTGCGGGTTTGTAGCTTAGCTCTTGTCCGTGTAGGTCTTAATTTTGTCCTAGAGGTATGTGCAAATTGTGTTCTGACTGTGTTGGCTTTTAAGGGACTCTGTTTGATGGGACTCTGTTTGATAGGACTCTGCTTGATGGGGATATCACCAACAGTAGATTCTGACAGATATACCTCAATTGGACCATTTTCACTCTTTAAGTGGATTTTGCAACCCTGCAGAAAAATAAAATTATTTTGGTACACCTAATGATAAACTACAAGGAATTGCTTTTTATATAATGGCCTATGAAATGCAAGTAACCTAAATTTCACTTAACCACAATGCACGGATTTTATGCCTACAGGAGCACCACATACACCACTCCACAACTATAAAATGATCTTCAATACTGTATTAGGTCATAATTATAAAATATTAAGGTCACTGAGCTTACACTATCTGCATGAGCACCCTTTATTTCAACTGTGCCTATGCCACACTGAAACAATCCCAGCTAAAACATATATAGGTCATTCTTATTAAATAATATCCAACCTGTCCCAATCAACTTATTAAAGCCTCTCACAAACTTGCTTCACTTTCTTGCCTGACCTTCAAAGAAAAGGTAGACTCCCCATACGGACCAAAACCATACATCAACTGTGTATGTGCTCATGCTTTATTGACCGCAGAAACCATTAATCAATAGAAATTATGGAGCCAAATCGAAGGACAGTGCCATCTTGGTCAAAAGAATAATCGCCTTAATTGAATTTACCTCCTCTTTGGATGTGGTTTCTTGAATTGGGACTTGTAATTGTGTTCCTGGTGGGGCTTTGATAGCAAAAACTGTCTTGTCTTTGTAGTAGTGAATGGTATGTAGGTCGTGGTAAGTGATGTAGGCAAACCTCTTATCTTGACTCATCTGTAGGAGATCTCGTTCTGAGAAAGAAGAAAAATTAGCACGACAAAACTATTTAAGCTACATTTAAACATATCCAATGGCTTCCACAATAACACAAAAATAATTGGAACATACTAGACAAAATATACACAACCTCAGAATAAACCAATACCAGTAAAAGAAATACAAATGCAAGGTTTAAATGCTAGACATAGAGAAATGTGTGTGTCACCTGAAAAATTAACGAACTTGTCCAGAATTTAAAGAAAAAAGTACTGTAAGATTATTCCATTTCTTTTCAACCACACTGCTCTACTGTATGACCTACCCAAAATAAATATTGCCTATTCTTCTTCCATAAACATACATACCTCTTCCAAACACACATGCCTCTTCCAGAAACACACACATCTCTTCCAGAAACACACACACATCTCTCCCAGACACACACACCTCTCCCAGAAACACACACACACACCTCTTCCAGAAACACACACACACATACCTCTCCCAGACACACACACCCCTCTCCTAGAGACACACACACACACCTCTCCCAGACACACACCCCCTCTCCCAGACACACACCTCTCCCAGACACACACACACACACCTCTCCTAGACACACACACCTCTCCCAGACACACACATTACCTGCTTGTTCTATAAGGTTATCAAGCTCATTCTCCTTTGACTCTAGATCTTCAAGCTCACCCTCCAAATCCTCGCTGCTGACTCTTGACGCTCTAGAATAAAAAACAAGCACTTACACTATCTTACCTACAATAATAAACAAGATTGTCCAATTGTTCCTTGTTATACCTACAGTTATATACCTTGTTCTACTTACAGTAAATATTGGTAATTGTATCCATTCCCAATATTTATTCTAAGTAGAAAAGGTAAATAACTATGCAGTATTTTCTATTTTTTTTTTTGCAGGAGCACAGGGACCTTTCTAACATCCTGTAGAAAATTGTACCCAAATTGTTAAGTACAACTACCTTACCACAGTTTACCACATGAAAGGAAGCCTCCTCTAATGAGTGATGGCACAAAGTCATTGTTAAATGATTTCATGCAATGATTTGTAAGACTAACTCCTAAACATGGGGGGGTACTGTGTATGGTACTGGCAAGATAAATTTTCTTCTTAAAATCTAGTAATCAATCCAACACTCCACAAAAAATCAATCTCATGCTGTTTTAAAACAACCAAACCTTCACAAAATTAGGAGCACACACACGATGACTTTGAAGTAAAATTCTAGTGCATATAAAAATATACTTTGTAAACAATTGGCAAATTAGACAGAACTTCTTCAAAATGTGTGTAAACTTATTATAATACAGGTTGAAACTCCCATATCCGCCAACTCCCCAAAACGGCACGGTTTTTAGAAATTCCTTTACCTGGCAAACCTCCTTAAGAACAGTGCAGTCGGATGGTAATACACACGAAATTTCTATTGCCTGGCAAACCTCCCATATTAAATTTACAGCTGAAGGTGGTGGTGTGCTTTCAGTGTTAGATTTATTCTACCCTTCTGGAACTGCACCATGGCTCCCAAACATTAATAAATCATCTACAGTACTGGTGGAGGTGAGGATAAGAGGAAGCCGTCTGTACCATGTAAATAGTGTTTATATACAGGCTGCATATAGTGTATTGGTAACCGGTTACAAGTACAGCATGCCCTTGAAATTTGTGGGGGTTAGGTTCTCAAAATGGCCGCGAATAACATTTACTGACCGGGTGTGTGTGACATTTTTACTCGTGTTTATGAAATGCACATTCCCTTTATGTTAGGGTCTACCCTCAAGTCAATTCCGTGCTTTGTTATTAAAGATATAACAAAGCACGGAGTTGACTCGAGTTGATTATTTGCGAGAGGATTTTCCCATTACAATATTATTTATTTGCACGTGTTTTTGTGTGTGCGAGTCTATATGTACAATACAGGTAAAAGAAATTACTGCCTCTAGAACGAACGGCTTCCTGTCCAAGCTATGGAAATGCCAGCAACTTTAAAACTACCATTTGACCTGGGTACATCCAGTGGGTCATCCACGAATAATCGAGGTCAGCGAATTAAAAACTGCAAATTTTTAGGGCATGCTGTACACAAAATATACCAGTACTGTTCTATATCTGGCTCAGAGCTGGTCCCATGGTTGCTTCAACCTGTATCTTATTTTATAAGTGAAGAAGCCTTTGTATCGAGCTCTACCTATGTTTTATAACATGTTGAAGACAAGAACAATCTATAAGCCATAAAGGCTTCAGCAACAGTCCTTTTCTACATTAATTTACCAGACATGCGGCACATGCCAGGCATAGAAGTACCAGGCATGAAATTACTAGTCTGGGGAAAGAAGCTTAGAACCTTCAATAATTACTAGTGCCAAGTGGCACAACAAAATTGCTAGTCTTCACCAAAGGCAAGTTTCCCTCTTCCCAACAATAAATACCGAACACATTCAATTAAAATAAACGCATCTAATGAAAAAGTTGTAAACAATGTATGCTATACAGCTCCTCCCCGACTTACGACCACCCGCACTTGTACCAAATTTTGTCAAATTACGTATTTTCGAGTCCCAACGTCAGTACAGACAAAATTTTCGTTTGTAATTCACTTTAAAATGGCTGGCAAGCTTAAAAGTGAGAGTTTTGTGGTGCTGAGAAGAAAAAGACACCCATTTTAGATTGTCTATGTATTATTTACGCATTTTCGACTTACGACCTGGATTTGGGTTCCTAACCCAGTCGTAAGTCGGGGAGGAGCTGTAATTATTCATTTTAACAAGGGCCTTTTACAAGTGACATATAATTTGTGTGTATTTCATATCATGAAAATTCATATTACAAAGCAAGAAGAATTTCATTAAGGATATTTAAAGTGAGGTACAATACTGATAAAAGTAAAAAAAATACTCACAGCCACTGAACATTGTTTTTGGATTTCTTATTGACTAGACCAATGCCCTCCAATACATTTGTAATATCATATATTCTTCTTTTCTGAACTGCTAGCATATCTGAAGCCTGAAAATGAAAATCCAATTTTGTAAAATTCTGCAATGAAATACTTATGATACCAGAAACTAAAGCAAGAAGTAAAAATCCAATTTACAGCTTAAGCATATTAACTCTTGAAGTAACATATAAAATACCTATACAATTATATGAGGATTATTTACTTATCCTACAATTTGTCTAACTTAAAATTTTAGAGCCAAATGGCTGACACCATGTACAGTACAGTACTGATCATGTGACAAGACCCCAGTGGCTGCCAATGAATAAATTATCTCTTACTTGTCTAATGTAAGGCTAGTTAGGCTGACTATCTGAACCTGTCTGATAATGGTACATCCAGCCTCCTGTTGTAAGAAGAAAATTATTATTAGTCCACTGACATGAGTTACCTGTCTCTTCCATCCCCTTTAGTGGTCCACCAGTTCTATCCCATTTAGGAGTACAGTATCTGTTCACTTCAAATTTATAGAGTGCATCTGTTCCATCCTATTTGCTAGGGTATGGAACTTTACAAATAAAGAAGCAAGCAGAGCCAAGTATAAATTAAATGTTCATAAAATTAGACAGTTTTTTGAGCGTACAAGCCATTTCCTCCTGTACAGGGTGGCCATGCAGTTATTGATCACCTGATTCTTCCATTCTGCAGTTAGTGGGTTACCCACCTACCTACTTGGCAGGATGCTTGTTCACTTAGAGATTATTCCACGACTGGGAAGCACACCTAATAATGCAGAGTACACATACCATACTCATTTATTACAAAGCACAGGAGAAAGAGTATTATTTTTACCTTATTAAGATCAACTGTGCCATCTGGTGCTGTCTGGAGCAGGTCAACAAAGCGCTTTGTTAAAAGTCCCAGAGATGTGTCATAACGTGAAGTTTTACCGGGAGATGGTGCTGGAGGAATCGCTGAAATATTTTTTATCAAATAATTATCATTATTACCCGGCACCTTGTACACAATATAAAAATGCCAAGTCCTACATAGCCATTCTTGAATTAGGGTGCAACATTTTCCTTTTTTAAAAGATGAGAGAAATAGTAATCATCTTTACAAACTGCATCACAAGACTTAAATTCATCTACTTCTTAATGTCCCACCTTAAATACTATGAACTAACACAGTACATAGGAAAAGGTCATTCAGAAGTAAATTACTTAAGGACAGGCATACCTGATGGACATTACAGTATTTCAATCGTACATTGCTGTGATTTGATATTACAGGGTACATAATACTAATGGCTGCCCCTTGTGTATGAGGATGGCCAGCCCAAGGGCCACCTAGACGTGAATTTGTCTAAGGTATAAAAGCTGTCGCGAACACAACAACCGCACCATAAGTTAACGAGTTGCATGACCCAGTGTCAAGGAATAGTCCGAGAAGACCGGACAACTCACCAACTGCACTGGCTAACCATTACCCCGGAACACAATTCGCAAATCGAATAACACCCTGGTTCCCAATTACTGCTGGGTAGACAGAGGCAAATGGCATAAAGAAACTTGCCCATAGTTTTTCCCTGCCCGGGGATCGAACCCAAGTCCATCTGCTTGCAAGGCAAGCACGCTGACCATTACACCACAGGTCACCACAATTTGATATTATGACTTCTTTCACTGCCCTGCAACATAACCCTAAATAATACATGGATTCTACAATTCACAATACATTTCTTAACCTAAACAGTTCTCAGTTTCCTTTAGTCATCAATGATTCTTGACATTGACCACTTTAGACAATCTCACTGCAAATTGGCTTTTGTTGGGGTAAACATAATTTATGAACTTTAAGGTGATTACTATTCATTCACCCAATTTCCATAAATCTTTTTGACTGAATTTTTTTTACAAATAAAGATTATTATTTACTTAAAAGTTTGAAAATTTTAATATGGACATTATATAATGGCCATTATGCTATTCTAGGGAATATCCATTTATTGTCTTCACATTATCTCTACACAAGCATAAAAAACATTTTCAGAGTAACTCATCTACAGTACTTACCTACAGCCTTCAAAAGTTAGTAAGGTACAGAATTTTGTGTGTACAACTTAAATCCAATACATTCACACTACTCAATGGGAGCATAGAAATCCCCCCCAACAAAAATTACTCGAGCTATTAATATTATCACTTGTATACTTCAGATAACAATGGCCTTCATGCCTGAGAATAACAGAAATACATTGATCAATTTTTATGGCCTGGTACTACATGTACACTCATACTGATACATACAGCTGGTAAAAAAATAGGGGTCACTACTCTCTGAAACTCCACCTCAAAGACCTTATAATAACCAAACTATGTGGATGAACTTCCATTAACAGGCAATTTCACAAGAGGACCTCAAATATAAGTCAAGCAAGGAACTACTGCAGACTGTAGCCTTTCACAATGTGTCACACTGAAGTATAGAGACCACTTTATGAAGTGACCTCAGACAAGGGTCAAAGATCAAGTTAGGTTATGAAAAACAAGCTATTGGAAAAGCATGAAGGAGGCAGCTATATTTAGATGTGAAAGGCTACCTGGGGTTTTCCCCTTGGACGGCGATGGAGTGTAGTGTGTGGATGAGACTGATTTCTGTCTGGCCCGTCTGGGAGTTTTCACCGGGGTCCTGAAGCCTTCCCCATCAACACCACCTTCCTCCAGCACCAATCGTCGTTTCACACTCTGAAATATATGCCATGTCCCTTAAAAATCTGTCTCCTGGTTTAATCTTTGTTTGGCCAAAGAAAGTATGGTGTAATGAAGCAAAATTTGAAAAATCAAGTATGTACACGCACATAGTGATGGATTAACCTTAAATTGCGGTTACATAAAAAAAAAAAAAAACCTAGTTCATATATTATTGTAAAAGACTGGGACACATCAACAGATTAGTAAACAATGGTTGACCAGAATCTTCTCACAGCCTACAGTATATAGCTCAGGCTAGTTAAAAAGTTTTCGCAGTCATCAAGAATTGGTACAGTATACATTACAGAGTGGAAAGATGCACTTTTCAGAAGGGATGTCATCTCTTCAATTATGCATTGTATTTGTTATTGAGAAAATTGGGTGTAGCTATTTTATGTAATGGCTAGTTTGTTGTGAGAATACTTCATAGTGCTGATACAATCTGCTGTATTTATGTGTATCATGCGGACATTATGGTGTACAGTACTGTATAGCGTGAATATTTTGTAGTGCAGATAGTTTGTAGTCTCAAGGTCTTTGGTTTGGAAATTTTTTGTATATAGTTTATTGTATACCTACAGTGTTTGCAGTGAAGATGCTTATTATGTGTGGGTTTGCTAGTATGTGGCTATTTGATGTACAGTAAGTAAGTCTTCATGTGGACATTTAGTACAGCAGTGTAAGCATTTTGCTTCTTGGAATATATATTTGCAGAGTTAATATTTTAATGTGTTGATATTTGGTTGTGTGAATATTATGTGAGTGGATAATTTAGTGTTGATATACTATATGTTTATTTGTATTTTCTTCAATGTGGATTTTGTAATTTATGAACACTAATTGTATAATTGCTGCGGTTGTTTTTTGTGGATATTGTTGTATGTACAGTAGATATCTAATTATATATCCAGTACTGCAATATTTCTTTGAGTGTGGGTATTTTGTCGAGCCAATTTCAGCCTAGAAAATTTTACAAAAGATTTAAACATACCTGTGGGTGTTAGTGTATGATAAATTAAACTGATGTTTGACCCTGACCAATCATACAAGTCAACATTAGTGTATGATAACTTAGCTGACCTTTGACCATGACCTTCGGTGGTCTGTGAGATATGGGTTTAATTCAGAAGTAGGTTGTAGAGAAGATGGGAAGAATGGGGTGAGGGAGATCCCAGATAGAAGGGGAATGGACTTCCAAGCAGCAGCAGTGTGTGTGGTTAAGTCATGATGTCAGTGGCTGCTTTCAAGGGTGTTATGAGGTTGGGCATGCTGCTGCTGATCCTTGTTAGGTTGTACGAAGTAACATGCACACACCAGATGGAAATCTTTTGAGGTTGTGCTGTGGAACAACAGATCAAAATGTTTTTGTTATATCAAATTTTAACTTTCGTCCATGTTTAACAAATAGTATTTAAACCAGTCTCATGTAAATTAGATGTGGTAGACCATGATTAGGTGTACAGCAGCAATGGATTTTCCATCAAAACTGAATTTTGAAGTTAAAACCTTTACAATTTAGGTTAATTAACTACACCACATAACATCAGGTTTCAAAACCAGATCTAAAAGTAAATTTTAAAGGTCAATTTCCCATGCTGGCAGATTATTCTGTAAACATCCTGTACAATCCTCCAGATAAAATATACACTCTTAATGCAAACTAAGTTATCTTGTGCATACTTTCATTAACAGCATCAGTCAACTCTAGAAATATCATGACTGCCCGAGAACTTAGTAACTAGATTGGGCTGATACTGCTTACCATCAAATCTTGATCACCATTTTACTGTACAGTTATAAGTTTGATACCCTTGTTTTACAACGGAATAATCCATTTAACATTTGAACCCTAACTTACCAGGAATTTATCTTCAATGGAAAAACTGAATCCAGAGGCCAAATCACCTGTGTACGTCCTGGTGTGACGGTGGGAGATTCTTGTGAGTTGCTGGGTGTGATGGGGGTGAGGCCATAGCCATGATCCAGCAGCTGTGTGTACGTCATGCCATCACACACGCTGAGAACCGTCCCGCCCACCACTGACAACCCCCCGGAGGAAGGCGTCCCCACACTCTCCATCACGTACTACACCTGCAAACAACAGATTCTTAGGCTTGAAACAAATAAAGGCTATTGAAACAAAAGCAAAACCCCAAAGGGTAAAGTTGACAGCAAGCTATATAAACTTCATTCTTTAAACTAATCCAATTAAAACTTATTTTAATAAACTAAAACAAAATTGAGTAGACTGCCAATTCTAATACTGTATACACAAAGCAGAAGACAAACAAAACATGAAGAAATACTTAAAAGACAAGTAAACATACCTATTTCAAATAGGTGACCAACTGCCCACGTCTGGGCAACACTAGCACCACACGCTTCCCTCACACTGTAAATAATAAGTATTCATTACCAAACCATGCATATATGTTTATATTAGGGTGGTCCTTATGTATAGGAAATTTTTTTATATATGACCCTTACAAAAGCTTCCACTGGGCACAAAGTGTGTGTGTGTGTGTGTGTGTGTGTGTGTGTGTGTGTGTGTGTGTGTGTGTGTGAAGTTTCATTAAAATATATTATTTAAAACTTTTGCAATGACTTGGAAATATCACCTTAATAACACTGCTGTGAATATTCACTTAACGGTCCCAGCCCTCAACCAGTCGCCCCACATAAATGTGGGCATTTTCTGTTTTAAAACGGGGTTATCACTGATTAGCCGCTCATTTTAGCCCAGTTAACGATCTATTAAGCTCTTTGGGAAATTGCCTTCTGTGGTCAGCAATGACTTGCAACAGGTATATACCACAGCTGCTCTTTCTTTCTTTGTTATATGGCTGGAGTACTATTGTACAAAAGCTACACCGCGCTCAGACGGTCATTTGTGACAGCCAATGTTTTTGTGATTTCTTTTGCTTGTATATAACTCATTAGTAGTGAGTCATTACTGTCCCATTGAGATACTGAAAATTCTAGAAAGCCTTGTGTAATGTTAAATTTTTCAAAGAATAGTTTGGTATTTTTTTTTTTAAAGTGAGCCAGCAACCTGTCTTTATGACATCTAAATCAACAGTGGCTCATTTGGGAGGTCTTTCTTTTCCTTCAATCTCTGTCATGGCCTTCACCATCTGATTTTTCATGTCTGGGACCACATAATGACCAAAGAAAAGGGGAGGCTCGTCAATTCTTCTGACAAAAAACCACTAATGGCGAGACATCTTTTTAGAAGTGGTTTTTGCATTTTTGTACTTGAAAATTATCGCTTTACGGGGCTTTTGCAGCAAATGAGGCTGTTGTCCAGGCCTTCACATTAATGCGGGCAAAGAAGATGCATCAAAACTTTAAAAGTGTAAATGACCTTTGCCATCCACCGGACATATATTTATAGGGTAAAACTGTCATTCTTGTACACCCAAATTAGACATTTCAAAGACTTTTTTGTTTAAAGAAACGCTGTTCTTTAGAGTACCATATCTTGAAAATAGCTCACAAGTGAATTCTAATCTAAAATTATTCCTGAAAAATTCCAGGTTCCATAGCCTTTGTAATGATCAAAATAAAGAAATCAAACAGAAGATTGTGTGTAAGGTTAGGCAATTTGGTCTAGGGTTGGTTACTTTGTTATCTTTAACATGTGGTAATCCATAGTTAAATAGGTGCAACTGGCATAAAACCAGTTTATATACAGCATGTTGCTAAAGTCAATCTTACAGGATAAAACTTCATTACCAAAACAAAGCTATAAGCAGTCAAATTGAGTTAAAATCCACTGCTATTCATCTGAGTTAGTGTTCACAAATATGGATGCACACATTACTTCTACATCCTCTGATACAGTGGCTGATAAAAATTTACAATATGAAGTTCCATTTCCTGATGAAGAAATGAAGATATGCAAGTGTACTGCAGCTAAGGCTGCCATGACCACAATACATGAAACAAGAGAAATGCATTTCTGAATTAAGGCCAATAAATTTATTATCAGAAGGCCTTAAGATAAGATAGAAAAATAAAATAAAATACTCAATGGCAGGGTTGTAAGGTAGAGATTAGATACAGTAATGCTAGGATGGGTACAAGGCCAGGGTCAATACATCTGGGTAGAGTACAACAACAGTATGGATGAAAGCCCATGATGAGTTGGGTTGGGTTAGGTTAACTCTTATTCAAAACAATGTTCAAACTGTACTTGGTGGAGTATCAGGCATAACCCAAAACACAAATAGCTAAAACAAACTCTGTACAGACAAAATATCTTGGCCTCGGCCCTTTTTCAATTTTAATATAAGACACTAGAAAGAAATTTTGGAAGGCAGAGATCACTCACTTGCCTCAAGGAGGCCAGTGGACCACACTTTTGCCTCAAGGAGGCCTGTGGACCACACTTTTGCCTCAAGGAGGCCTGTGGACCACCCTCTTGCCTCAAGGAGGCCAGTGGACCACACTTTTGCCTCAAGGAGGCCTGTGGACCACCCTCTTGCCTCAAGGAGGCCTGTGGACCACCTCTTGCCTCAAGGAGGCATGTGAACCACACTCTTGCCTCAAGGAGGCCTGTGGACCACACTTTTGCCTCAAGGAGGCCAGTGGACCACTCTCTAGCCTCTAGGAGGCCTGTGGACCACTCTCTTGCCTCAAGGAGGCCAATGGACCACACTTTTGCCTCAAGGAGGCCTGTGGACCACACTCTTGCCTCAAGGAGGCCTGTGGACCACTCTCTAGCCTCTAGGAGACCTGTGGACCACTCTGTTGCCTCAAGGAGGCCAGTGGACCACACTTTTGCCTCAAGGAGGCATGTGGGCCACACTTTTGCCTCAAGGAGGCCTGTGGACCACACTTTTGCCTCAAGGAGGCCTGTGGACCACTCTCTAGCCTCTAGAAGGCCTGTGGACCACTCTCTTGCCTCAAGGAGGCCAATGGACCACACTTTTGCCTCAAGGAGGCCAGTGGACCACACTTTTGCCTCAAGGAGGCCTGTGGACCACACTCTTGCCTCAAGGAGGCCTGTGGACCACTCTCTAGCCTCTAGGAGGCCTGTGGACCACTCTGTTGCCTCAAGGAGGCCAATGGACCACACTTTTGCCTCAAGGAGGCATGTGGACCACAATCTTGCCTCAAGGAGACCTGTGGACCACTCTCTTGCCTCAAGGAGGCCAATGGACCAAACTTTTGCCTCAAGGAGGCCTGTGGACCACTCTCTAGCCTCTAGGAGGCCAATGGACCACACTTTTGCCTCAAGGAGGCCAATGGACCACACTTTTGCCTCAAGGAAGCCTGTGGACCACTCTCTAGCCTCTAGGAGGCCTGTGGACCACTCTCTTGCCTCAAGGAGGCCAATGGACCACACTTTTGCCTCAAGGAGGCCTGTGGACCACTCTTTTGCCTCAAGGAGGCCTGTGGACCACTCTCTTGCCTCAAGGAGGCCAGTGGACCACACTTTTGCCTCAAGGAGGCATGTGGGCCACACTTTTGCCTCAAGGAGGCCTGTGGACCACACTCTTGCCTCAAGGAGGCCTGTGGCCTCCACTCTCTAGCCTCTAGGAGGCCTGTGGACCACTCTCTTGCCTCAAGGAGGCCAATGGACCACACTCTTGCCTCAAGGAGGCCTGTGGACCACACTCTTGCCTCAAGGAGGCCTGTGGACCACTCTCTAGCCTCAAGGAGGCCTGTGGACCACTCTGTTGCCTCAAGGAGGCCAATGGACCACACTTTTGCCTCAAGGAGGCATGTGGACCACAATCTTGCCTCAAGGAGACCTGTGGACCACTCTCTTGCCTCAAGGAGGCCAATGGACCAAACTTTTGCCTCAAGGAGGCCTGTGGACCACTCTCTAGCCTCTAGGAGGCCAATGGACCACACTTTTGCCTCAAGGAGGCCAATGGACCACACTTTTGCCTCAAGGAAGCCAATGGACCACACTTTTGCCTCAAGGAGGCCTGTGGACCACAATCTTGCCTCAAGGAAGCCAATGGACCACACTTTTGCCTCAAGGAGGCCAATGGACCACACTTTTGCCCCAAGGAAGTCCAGGGACCAATCACTTCCCTCGGCGACCTGGGAACGACTAACTTGTCTCAGGGAGGCCTGGGGATCATGTAACTTAAAGAGGCCTGGGTGCTACCATATTACCTAGGTAGGTAGGGGTTGAGTACCCAGGCACTATAGTACCCCAGCTATGTACTGTAAGCTTGCAGCCTAACCTCATACTGTACATGGTACATATAGTAAAATTCAGAGTTTATGTTGGAGGAAAGGTTGTATAAAACAATTTCATTATACATACGCAGCTATGCAAGCACTTTTAATATTCAGGTTACCCCACTACACAAGCACTCCAATATATTAATACCTTTACTATTATCCTCTTTCCCACTGATCGGCTCGTTAGCCGCTTGGGCAGTCGGTCACATCTATTACACACTGTTGGCAAGTATTGGACACGTATCTGTCCCTGCTCCAGTGTTGGTTAAGTCTGGTCTAGAAAGCTCACACTTGTTGCCAGTGCCGGATTTAGACCTGTGGAGGCCCATGGGCAGCCTCTTTGTGAAGGCCCCCTTCATTATAACTACCCAAGAGGGTGGGGTGGTGAGTGAAGCAAGCCTAAACATCTGGGAGTTCCGGGGGGTGCTGTAAGCCCCCCGGGAAAATGTTCAAAATTGAACACTTCTTTGGATAATTTTGAAGCCAAATGCAGTTATATTGAGGAAATTAGAACTTTGAGAAAATTTTAATTAACTGTATATTTATTGATAGTGTACAAATTGCTAACACACACACACACACAAAAGTGAGACATGACTGGAGTCATTCATGTGGTTTCAAGTCGACCAGCCCCGATATAGCTACTACCGCACATGTCAAAAATTTTCAAGAGACTTCACAGAAAAGAATATATTATTAGTTATTACAGAGAGATGATTCTTTGCATTATTAATCAGATAAACCTCTGCTCAAATAATGGTTCTGTCCAAGAATGCATGTATAGGCTTCTTTAAGTCCAAGGTCAGATAGATTCAGAATAAGTATTAACTCAACTATAAATAAAGTTGAAGTTTTGCATCCAATAGTAAAACAAATAAACAATTTAATGAATTTGATAAAATTATAACAAAAGTAAGAACATGTTGGAAAAAACAATTATTTTAATAAAAATAACTGCCATCGACCATGGATATATTGAACACAAACACTGATCAATTGTAAAATGGAAAATAAACATTACCTTTATTTACAGACCCAGGCACTTTACGTGACCTGGCCGCTGCAAAGTCTTTGATCAACTTTTCGAAGTCAATCTCTGAGGATGTCATATTCGATACTCATCAAAGCCAGGTGGCTGAGCCTATCATGACACATTGCAGTACGAAGTCTGTTTTTAATAAACTTCATTTTACTGAAAGAACGTTCTCCAGAACAATTTGTGACCATGAGCACCAAGTACAACATAGCATTATTTCAACATTTGGAAATGCATCTACAACTTTCTTGTCTATCAACAGCTTGTAAAGGTAATGTGCCCTCCCTTTCTCATCATCTTCGTCTTCAAGAAATTGAGTGAAGAACGCTGTAAACTGCACAAGTTCAACTCCAAGTGTTTGATACAAATCATTTTTGTACTCCGCAACCAATTTTGCTGCAGCTGCTTCAACTTCGTCACAATGCATTGACTCCAGTTTAGACAAGAACCCGAAAAGTGAACAGGTTTCCTCATAGGCCTTTAACCGTTGATCCAGTGAACTCAGGAACTGATCAATTGCTGGAAGGAAATTCTGAACCCGAAATTTTTCTGACTGTGAGAGGGCTGCTTCTTCTGATTGTCCATAATCCAATGGATTGAGTCGTACATTACGTTGACGCTTGTGTGTCTGTGAATAATCCCCAGTTTCTGACATTTCCCTTCCCTTCTTCTCATAAACATGGAAGCAATCTCTTTTTTCTCGTACAAAGCATTCCAAGGACTTCAGCATTGCTACTGCTGTGTTCAAATCGAGTTTAGGATCTTGCAATGCATGGCTTGTTACATCAACTCTGCCAAGAATGTCATGCCAAAACACAGCATAAATAGCAGTCTCTAACTTGCACATCTTATCATGGAGACCATTGGCTTCATAACATGTTTTGCTCGTCTCATTTTCATCTCTAGCTATTTTAGCAAGTGCTTCACGGATTGGGAGATAACCTTGGACAACTGCTGTCACTGCAACTGCTCGACAGGACCATCTTGTTGTGGAAATCCTCTTTGGCACAGATACCGGGCCAGACGCTACAGTTTTCAATAAATCACTAAGAATTGCATAACGATGTGTAGAAGCTGTGAAGAACACATAAATTGCCTCAAGAAAATAAAAAAATGAGATAGCTTCTTGACAACATTCAGCTGCAGCTTTTCCAACCAAGTTTAATTAATGACCAGCACAGGGTATCCAAATTGCATGATGATTTTCAGCTACAACTTTGGCTTGCAGACCATTGTACCTCCCACTCATAGATGTTGCATTATCATAAGATTGGCCACGACAATTTTGAATGTCAATGTCATTGTCTGCAAGAAACTTCATCAAACCTTCAAACATTTCTTGAGCCTTGTGTCCTTGATTCGGCAAGAATTTCACAAATCTCTCAACAGGTGTGTCATGCTCCATGTACCTGATTATCAGAGTCAGTTCATCAATATGGCCATCAGGGGTGGAATCTCGAGAAATTGAGTAATATTTTGAGAGCTCTATACGTGAGATAATTTCGTTCAGTACTTCATTGCCCATTAGTCTGACAATTTCTTCACAGATGGTTGAAGACAAATATTTTGTATGACCAGTGCCACAATTAGCATGATTCTGGATGTGTTGCCTGAGGAAATCATCATACTCGGCCAAAAGCTCTAGTAATCCCAAGTAATTTCCATTATGAGGAGATCCAATTATTTCATCATCTCCACGAAGAGCTAGCCCTCTTTCACATATAAATTTAAGCACGCTGATCAATCGCTTTAGAAGACTACACCAATACTGCTCAATTTGACCCACATGTGTAGTTAGTTTAGAATCTAAACCTCCAGCTCCCTTTGCACGACTTGCTGCTGACAAAACTGCTTGAATGTGGTCCTTTGATTGCTCATGGACAACAAGCCTATTAGCATGCTTCCAGTCGCAGAACCCATCACATGTGAATGGAGATCTTGAAACACCCATTAGCTTGCAAAAGAAGCAGTAGACCCGCCCATTTGCGGGGGAGAAACAAAGCCAAGAACGCTTTACAACTTCCCCATTTCGTTTCCTTCGCTCAAACATGGCTGGTGTGCATTTGCAACTGACATTGTTTGCATCTTTTTGTACTGCTGATTTTGCATCCAAAAATTTAGCATCACTGGTGGACTCTCAGAACCGTTCGCAGCCCAATAATCAATAAATTGTTTTGTCAAATGTTCTGACCATAAGCTAATGTCAATGTCATAATTTTGTGTAGTTGCCATTTGCACTTCAGGAGGCACATGCTTCGATTCAATTTCAATCTCCTCGGCAGTCTGGTCATTTCCCCCTGTAGATAGGCTAGAGCTGCCATATAAAGAGGAAGCTGATGCATCACATGCAGGTACTTGTTCTGGTTGCCTTGAAGATGAGCTTGCAGAAGCACTGACTAGATGTTCTGAAGCTGATGGACGAGTGATGAATTCAGTCAGTCGACGTGTTTTTGTAAATTCTTTAGCCTCTCTCTCAGCACGTTCTTTAGATGTCTTTCTCTTTGCAGCACCACTTTCAAACGTCGTACACCTTTGTGTCTGTCCATTCCACTCATTTCTGCAACAATAATTTTCTGTCAACAAAGACGGACACCTAATTTTTCGTTATAATTAAAAACGCAACACAAATTGGTCGTTTGCTTTTTGCTACTTTATGGAGAGGTTCGCCTCCTTTTCACCATTGACTATACTGTGTTATACTGTATATACTGATCGTGGAACTGACAGAAACCGTCATTGACATAGTTAATGTACTCAAAATACATAAAAATAACTTGCAGCCAATCGACCTGTAGTATCTTAAAGCACAATTATATATGTGAACGTATATTCTAAGAGCACACCCACCCAGACTCAAGCACAAGCATCAATCGACTCTCTCTCACTGCACATTTGCAAGACATGTTCTAGGAAATGACAACTGACAAGATCATTCATCACTGAGCGGCGACAACTTCACTCATGAAGCACACATGACAATTCTCTCTCTCATTTTACATCTGCAAGACATGTTTATGTCTACTCGTGGAAAGTTCACGAATCATGGGCGACGCAAGTCTCCTCTTTAATCGACAGACACACGACAACCGATGTGCAGATATTACACGACCCAACTCCCTCCGACCGACTGTCAACAAACACAGCGCCCTGATGGCATTCGTAATAAAAGTGATAATGAAAAAAATATTTTATTTATTTGTTTTTTTTTAATCTCAATTTCATTATTCCATGTAGTTCATTTTTAATCAATATATGTTAGTGGAATTCTAAATATATTATAAGCAAAACAAACAATAGCATTCATTAAAAATATACGGTTCATAGGAAAACCAGGTATTGTATTCATGAATTTCAAGGAGTAGCTAGCCTAATTTCTATCACGCTTCTTGCTGAACATAGTTTTACGTGATGGAATAGATAAACATGAATTTTAAAGAATTAAAATTAAAATAATCCAAATGAATAAAAAAATAAATAAAATATTGTAATATGTGGAGGCCCACTCCTGAATCCGTCCCTGCTCGTTGCCATCACAACACTCTGCCAGATTGCTCCCAGAGCCCACAACTCCCACTCCAAAAAAGTGAGTGCAAATGTGTGACTACACAGACAATGATTGCTTATACAAAATACAAAGGAGCTAGAAAAAATTACAAAAGAATTCAGACCACAGCCTCTGCACCTTAGTGTTTCAGGAATCAAAAGATTTTAGCAGGAATGGACCACCATTGATTGATTTGATTGATTGAAACAATTCATTTAGCCAGAAAAGCACATACTGAGTCGATAATAATAACAATATTAACATGGTTCATCCTGCTAAAAACCAAATTTAATCAGGGTATATTTGCATGTCCCCCCGACCCCTTCGGCATATACAGTACAAGTCATTTGCGAAGTGTCTTAGAATCGACTAAAATATTGATTGCAACAATAAAATTCTCAAAATTCAATACAAGTCTTCATTCCTCAAAGCACTTGCAGAACAAATGCTACAACTTACTTGCTCACTGCAGTTTCCTCCATTCTTATGTACTATAAATTATGGTTAATATTGACGACTAGCCTGCTAACACGTTATTTGTTTTGATTTTATATTCTTACTATATTTTCATCAGTGAGTTCTGATATGATAATCATTTTGGGGGGAAACTGCCTCGTTCTGTAGATAATTTGGTGACTAAACACGCACTACTTTATCTTTCTCGGCGGTAATGCAGCCGAGAAGGAGCATCCCGCCATTCACATTGACGGCTCCGATCGACACCACTGGTATGGTTATGAGCCGCATGGTTCGGGCAACAGCTCTCACGTCCACAAAAACATAAAATTACACCATATCACAGTAAATTCTTTCTGTTTAATATACCAGGGTGTCTGGGGGAAAGAGCCCCACAGCTATGAAGTTAGGTGGTTTCTTTGGCGAGGTCTTCTAACATGCTTTTGCCACTTGTTTTCTTGTCAACTAAGGTTTAATTTAGAAATATCCAATTTTTAACACATTTTCCAAAATTACAAGTGTTCACTATAAAACATAGTGAAATTATGGCATTTTAAAAATAATTTTCTATAAAAAATCAGCCGCGAGTCGGTCAATAATTACCTAAATTATTAGTACTTTTTCCTTATTACCTTACTGGACTGTGAACAAACCATCCAACAAATCCACTGAGCCATTCCAGATATTCACCCACAGTCAACCTACATGTAGACACTTTAAGTTGCCAAAGGGAGGTCTGGATACTTATGGTTACCTACACAAGTTCTAGGTTCATCTGTGATACCCAAGTACAATGTGTCTTGTTACTTTAAAGAGACTGTAGGGGTTTGTTAAGTGGTTCACTAAGGCACCCTAGTTGAACCAGCTGTGAACGAGTACCTACCATTACAGCTGGGAAAATGAATGCAGTCAATTACAGCACCTTGTGTACTGGTGGCTTGGTACGGAGTGATGTACCTGCACTACATCCTAAACATATCAAGCTAATGGAACCCACTTTCACCAACTGGAAGCAGAGTTCTGCCATATCATTTGAGATCAAACTATCATTTTGTTACCTTAGTGAGGACCATCTATTTCTGTGTTACCCATGGAAATCTTATCAGTCAAATTTTAGTTCCGGTCATCGCTGTATTTAGCATAACCTAACATAACCTCTATCTAGTCCAACAGGAGAAATTCGCCCAGCCCCCCCCAATGACCTAAACTAAATCAATACTGTCCTGTCTACAACCATGTGACCTAAGGGAGGCCAAGTTCCCATACTGTTACTGAAGGGAGACTAAGTTCTCATACTGTTACTTAAGGGAGTTCAAGTTCCCATCCATACTGTTACTTAAAGGAGGCCAAGTTCCCATCCATACTGTTACTGAAAAGGGAGGCCAAGTTCCCATCCATGAGGTTACCCCATGGAGGCCAAGTTCCCATACTGTTAACCTAGGGAGGCCAAGTTCCCATACTGTTAACCTAGGGAGGCCAAGTTTCCATACTGTTACCCTAAGGAGGCCAAGTTCCCATACTGTTAACCTAGGGAGGCCAAGTTCCCATACTGTTAACCTAGGGAGGCCAAGTTCCCATACTGTTACCTGGGGAGGCCAAGTTCTATACTGTTAACCTAGGGAGGCCAAGTTCCCATACTGTTACTGAAGGGAGGCCAAGTTCCCATACTGTTACCCTGGGGAGGCCAAGTTCCCATACTGTTACCCTAGGGAGGCCAAGTTCCCATACTGTTAACCTCGGGAGGCCAAGTTCCTATACTGTTACCCGAGGGAGGCCAAGATCCCATACTGTTACTTAAAGGCGTCCTAGTTATCATCCGGTTACCAAAGGAGGCCTGGCTACTACAATCTTACCTACAGTATGATAGGCCTACTGTATCATGTTACGTCTGGAAGGCCTAGGAAGTCTCATGATACCTAAGGGAGACCCAGGAATTGATGAACCCCCATGTTACCTTGAGTAAGCCTTGGAACCCCCATGCTACCTGAGGGAGAAGTTCCAACCCCCAAGATTCCTTCCGGTAAGGGACCAGCCTAGGAAGCCTCATGGTATCTAAGGGATGCTTTGGGAAACCTCATGGGATATATGAGCTGTCTTGGGTATATATGGTTTACCTACCTTAGGACATAAGTCATGTTTGGAGTAGTTGACTGGGAGGTATTGGCAGAAAAGTTGAGGTACTCATGGCTGCCCTTCCCGTCGAGAGAACCGTATCTTACATTAATGTGTAAGCTTACAGAGAAAACAAATGTACTTTCCGAACGACCTTTCGTTACCCCATAATATTACAACCTGTCCACCATAATCACAAAATACAATACCGATTTGCTGAACAATAATCTCTCATTCGAAAATAAAATCTTATTTTCACATCAGCCTAGTGATCGATTTCATACAAAAGCGAGAATAATAAATGATAGGAATCCCTAACGTCAGGTTGAGGATCAAACATGGTTTAAATGTCCACAAGGTTAAGGCTCGGACGGCCCTGTGGTGTCAGACGGCCACCACCACAACCTACGACTACCATAACGCCACGAGGAGGGCACCACAATACCATCCCATCCCGCCACATAATTACACAAATTTCACCTTATTTTCATTCCTCAGTTCGTTGAGGTTAACAGGTCTACTCGTAGCTTAACGGCGAGGCTGTGACCTACAGGACAGGTGGTATGTGGAGGTGGTCAGGTCAAACTCCCGGCCACAACCTTCGCTACTACCACCGCCACCACCACTCACTAAGATGCGGCAACGCTGCGTCCGCTTTTCATAGCACAGTTACAACATTTTACACCAATAGTTACATATTCGTAATCACTTACCTCTCTTCTTCAAGGCCATATATGAAATATCCCGCTAAGCATACTCTGGAGGGAGAAAATCAGGGTGAACTGAGGAGACCTAATTCCCGCGCGTCACCCATGCTGTTTCTGTGATGGCCGCCAGCCCGCCAAAACTACACCTATAACTTCCTCACCTTATTAACCAACCATCATATACCTTAGAATCTTCAGTAACCAGGGAGAATATACCTTTACATTCTCTAAACTAATAAACCCACACAAAAATCCAGAAGAAGACACTTACTCTACTTGTGAGGCGATATAGGAGGCGCGCCACTTTCCCTGCCGAGCCTCCGTCCAACAATAAGTGGCGCCAAACTCCAATCCAGATGCTATACGAATTTCCCGCCAGTCCCACTCAGCGAGCGTTCATACACAAATCTTCAAATTATTTCTCTCTTACAGTGTCATTTACGTATTTAATTCAATATTTCATGAATTATAATCTAAAGCTTTGTATCTAATATCAATATATCTTAATGATAAGTCTGTATTTACCTGAATACGTATATAAACAAAAAGTCTAAATTTTAAACTATCTACCACCAGATGCCCTCAGCGTCGATTTAAAGCCACGGTATTTTGGTAAACAAAGACAAGAACCCGTGAGGAGCTTAACAATATTCATGACTCTGTATTTACTATATGAATCTATATTTATCTCTAATTTTCAGCTGGATTAAGCATAAATATATATTCTAATTCTCTGGCATCTTTTCTGGTTTCTCTATTAGTATTTTAATTAAGTTATGGGAGTGTTATTGTATTATGCTTCTTAAGGGGTACTGGTGCCATAAGGTCGATGTGTGTTGAGTTAAATGGCCCAGCTGTTGGGGGGTTTGCCTGGCTCAGTCTTGTCGGTCCTACTTGCCATCTCCTGCATTCATGGGTCAACGGGAATCTTTTTGTATGCTTTATAGCCCAAAGTATATTTCGTAGTCCCACGTGTATTCCATAACCATTGAGTATTTGATTGCCTACATGTATTTTATTTTCGTAATAAAAGATAACTGAACCTAATAACTTCCCGCGCACCATGCTGGTAACAAAGGTGATGAATCAGAATCAGAATCAAATATTTTATTCATAGATACAAGTACAAGTATAGAATTAATATTAAAAAGCAGGTAAGGTACTTTCTATATTGTGGCATATATACATTTTGGTCCCTTATCCAAAGTATTGAATAGAAATGTATCGAACCAATGTAAACCCTTCTGTAACCAATTGTTACCAAAGATGTGTGTGGTAACGGTTGATATTACCTCTTGGCTTAATAATAAACGTGGGTAAATTTAATTTAACAAATGAAGAAAACAATCATATGCTTCTTAGATCTGGGGGAATGCTATAGCTAAAGCTTATCATATTACAGAGCGGTTTCTGCTAGAGGAAAGTTCCCAAGTTTCAAAGTTGCCATATTACGCGTTGCCGAATATAGTTTAAATAATCCCTGACTATAAAAGAAATTACAATTAAAAAAAATACTGTACTTATGAATATAAAAACATCATGTCTGTCGATTTATGTCTTTCTGGCAGTGGTAAGGCGGGGTAGGCCTAAGCCAGGTTAGGTTTAGCCATGGAAGATGAACTGCACTTCCCTCTAGTTTTACCAGTAACTAGACATGGTTACAACTGTTTTTATTCATTAAAAATCCAACATAACTTTTGTGTGGCGTCAGTTAGAGAGGAAATACAACATCGATCAGTTTACAGATAAGAAAAAGGCGGAAGCACGTGGTTGAGGGGGACAGGGGAGTGAAGGGGCATCACATCCCATAACTGAATATGGTGGAGCCGACCTGGTGCCTCGTGGTGTGGGTGTCCTGTGTTAAAAGGACCACCGGGAGAGCTAATCAACCTGTATCTCTTCCATAATCACAATAACAATGATAATTATTTAGTTGGAGGTGTATTTACCTGGAATACAAGTGCGGGGATTATTATTACAGGAGTTTCTAAAACATAAATTACCAAATAATCATAACGTGTCCTTCCATCGCCACCACCACACAACACTATCACCACCATCACAACATCACCATCACCACCACCATCACATCACTACCAACACACCACCGCTAACCCAATACACTATCATTACAACTACAACACAATCATCCTAACACCGGTCCATCCCCACCACACCATCCCCTCCTACCATCATCACCATTCACCATCACCAGCATCACCTTCACACGATCACCCATCACCATATCGCAATCATACCATTACCACCACCAATAATCATCATCAGCACCGCCACCAATACAATACCACCACAACACCACTCCACTACAGCACCACAAACCAATTACAACACCACAACACAACATTACCACCAAAACACATCACCATCACCATACATCGCCACCATACGCCACTACCACACCGCACACCACCATCTCCACGTTTACCACCGCTACATACCACTACACCACACAACACCAACACCAAACACTTCATACCAACACTAAACACCACCACCACAGCAAAACACCCCCACACAATATTACCACCATCACCCCCACCACACAACACCCCCACACACTATTGCCATCATCACACACCATCATCACTTCCACACACTACCACCACCACCACATACTATCACCATAAATCACCACCACGCAACACCCCATGCAACACCACTATCGCCACACGCCACCATTACATAACATCACACAACACCCACCACCACTCACTACCACACACCAGCACCACCACATTTTTCTAATGGGAATTATACCACCCGAGCACGGGTCACTGACCCACATCGGGAACAGGGGATGCGAAAATATAATTAATAATAATAATAATAATAATAATAATAATAATAATAATGATAATAATAATAATAATATATATAATAATAATATATAATAATAATAATAATAATAATAATAATAATAATAATAATAATAATAATAATAATATAATAATAAAAATAATAATAATAGTAGTAATAATAATAATAATAATAATAATAATAATAATAATAATAATAATAATAAGAAGAAGAAGAAAAAAAAAAGATCAATTGTGTGTAAATGAGGCAAAAAGTCAGATCATCAACCTGGGACTTGGGCACAACTTTCGTGATGCCCTATGGCAGCAGGGTCTACCATTAGACAACACATTGTGCGCCCAACATCTTCCCAGGAGGTAGTACCTCCCTGTTTGGTAGCTGCCTACTACCTACTACACCACCTTCACATAACACCACACAACACCACCACAATCACCACACACCACTACTACACACCAATACACACCACCACCACCACACCACAACCACACACTACCACCCATGGAGGTATGATAGGGTTATTATACCTCCATTCTACCATCACACACACACACACATTACTACTACTACTTTGCTGTCAATCGGAATCAAGTATAACGATCATCCAGCTATGATACAATGATATGAGTTATTAAAAATGTTACCTTCGTTAGTGAGCTTTGAGGTGACTCGAGAAGCCGATACGGGACCGGCAGGATCGTCCACAGATGTTGCACGTGTGGAGGACTACATCCAGTGCGGGAGGGGCGGCGACAGCGTTTTTCCGGCGCTTGTCTGCTTACCTCTGTACGCACATACACACACACACACACACCTACTCATCAATAAGAGATAGGGATCTGGTGTATAGAAGTGAGGGATCCATGTTGACACTACCTAGTCTCTCCTCTCCCTCCCCTTCCCTGTTGTGCCCCACATACATGAAGCTCCACCCCCTAGTGTCTGTACTGTATAGTGTTCAGACACAGTTCAATCTATATATTAAGAGAACGTGAAGCATTACATCACGGAGGAACAACTCTTTTATTGCTATTGACTAAACATCCATTTTTTTAATATTTTATCTTTCTCTTTTTTCCTCTCCTCTTCCCTCTCTTTTCCTCTTTTTCTTTATTCCGGTCCAACACTATGAGACTCACTGCCTATAGATCCAGGGACGTTGAGATCTTCAGTCTAACGCTCTCTCAAATGAACCTTCAAGGCAACGCCATTTGTTGTCGGCGTTGAGAATAAATTAAACAATTTACGCTCCGTACTGTGAAATACATGACGCCAGTGTCAGATTTAGGACTACTGCATGGCGGCAGGGAGGACAGTATAAAAACGTACACAACATGGGACCATAGATCTCCAGAACCCTTTATTTCAAAACCTAACCTATACCATTTTTACCCCACTTACTCCTCGGGCGAAATAATTGAGGTGTCTAATCTTCAGGTGATCATATACAACTTCTTTTATCCAGTAAGAAGGTGAGTGTTAACCGTTTAATAAGTAACTGTGGGCTGGTGTATTGTGAAAGATCGTTGCGGCGCAGGGGGTAGGGTGGGCGGCTGTGGTTCCCTCCCCCCCTACCATTGCTTGGCTTGTCATTTCTCGAAAGTCAACATGTTTGGTGATGTGACTACGTACTCAGATAAGGTATTCAATTATCAATACGTCCACAAAATTCCACGCGCAGTTAATTTGCCTCTGCTTGATGTATGATGTGTCTTCAACAGTTTAAAATTATCGATCAATGGCGTTTCTCTTATTTGTCTGTACTGTACATTGAACAACACATCAATACTTGTTTGAAATGATACAGTGTTATGGTGGTCAACGTAGATGAGATATAAGACTTCAAACAACCAGTAGGAAACACAAATGCTGGCAAAGGTATAATGAAACTAGGAACGAAGGAACCCCAAGGCAGAAGAATAAAGTTTGGACGAGGATAAGGATAATTTTTGGAAAGTTTGGGGGGAAAATGACTTAGACAAGACACAACGACTAACCCCCCCCACCCCCCAAGTGTATAAATGTAAGATAAAAGTTTATAAAGAATATTCGAGAATATCAACACTGGTTTATCAGGTTTATTGGGAGAATACAAAATAAAAAAGAAAAACATAACGAAAGTGAGTTGTTAAATTTCTTTCAGGTTTATTCACGATGGATCAGCTGAGTGCATCAGAGAGAGTCGCTCGACTATCAGGGGTGACAACCTTAAACAGATCCACAGGTGACGATAAGTACAGTCCATCCACATCATTGGAAGAAATACTCATAAATTTACAAACCATCCGTTAGTGATGATTTTCAACATGTAGGACATGTGTATGGAAATCTTGGATACGGGATACAGGGATACATATATGTGTGACTTAAGTCTATATACCTTGAGTGTGACACACAGCATTAATGGACCCCATAAAAGCCTTCGATAAAGTTCGGCATCAGTACGTTTACTAACTGTGCTGTTGCCACTAGGTGACTAGAGCAACACAGCATTGGATTTTATCCTTACTACACGAAATAAGCAGAGTAATGTAAAGGGATTCTGGTGAGACTGAATACCAGCATTAAGCGGCATTACACAAGGGAGTGTGCGAGGTTCGGTCCCCTTTTATCGTATACAGGAATAACAATTACAGTACAGTACTTACCAGATAGTATGTGTGTGTTTGTTGACAATACGACGATGTTCGAATGTACTGTACAGTCTGTTCAAGGCCAATTTCGGCTTCCTTTATAATTAAACAAACTCCAGAACTGGTCAGTTGTATGGCAGCTCCGCCACTATCTGGATATTATGTATGTAAGGTGATGGCTATTCGCAGGACAAGAAGAAAGCCACCCAGCGTATTACACGTAGGATAAAAATAAGCTAATTGATTTGACGAGCCTTGAGAAAAGAGTTGGGTGTGGTAGACAACATGCCGTTTAAAGATCACAAGAGCACATGTAATACATATTACAGGTGAACTGGATGATGGGCCAGAGCTGGCCGTCACTCACCTACTGTAGATGTAGTGATAACAGAAGGTCAGTTATTATATTAAATCTGAAATAAAAACCTGAAAAAGCAGAATATTTACATAAACGGAATATGTGATAAGCTAAGGGTTTATACATTAATGTCCAGCACTTACACTACAGCTTACAATATCACGTTGTTTTTAGATACAACCAATACTGTAATCGGGTACAAGACAACCTCCCGTTGTATGTTATGATATTATAGATGGTCACAACGTTAGATGTGTTAACTCGAGAGACGACGTGACAAACACCGGGCAGACCACATGGGGGTAAAGCCACTACACCAATCGGTTTAATGCTGATAGTGTTACACCAACAGTGGTGCTCGCTTACATCTCACTAATGCGTGCCAGGTTCTATCCCAGCTTGGTTTGGATGTAAGACGAGTGATTTTTGGCGCGACCGAATAAAACATCATATGCAGCTTCATGTACTGTATTTAAACTGGACTACCCCGACCGGCTAATAAGACAGAGAACGGAGAAAACAAATAAAAAGAAAGTCCAGAATGCACATAATTAGGGCCGTCCGAGAAACGTCTATACCAAATGCGTCACGTGATCTATGACGTCAGGTTCATCCCCTTTATAGACAAACGTTTTCTTGCCTTGCACAGTAGTCGGAGGCTCGTAAAAACAGTTTTCCCGTTACGGATGTTCGTCGTCCCCGTTAATTTAACCCCATAATACCTTACTGGCCCTGACAGTTCCTCTCTACCGGGTGTATGAGAGGTGAGCTTTTCTGATAACCTATTATAAGGGTTATTTTTCCGTAGCATATTGCAAGACTCCATCATAGCCTATGGTGATGATTCACCACCACTCCCAGACGTAAGATTCATACTTCAACCATAATTTCACCCAACAATTCTCCATTAGTATTAAGGATATCACAAAAAAGAAAGAAATATTTATATTTACAGTACTTTTTAAATTTGCTTTTATTTTATGAATGTCTAAATTAATTAACCTGCCTGTGTTGTTATGCCGTACGACTTGTGGAATTGAATAAGGGAGGCAACGCGGGCGCCATGTGAGTGACGTTTTGGTGTGTGTTGGTGCAGGGTGTGGACCTTTAAATCCTTTAAATTCACATTATATTTTGATGTTTGGCCAGCTGAGAAATCTTCCTTTTAACCCGCCGTCGTAAAGATCTCCAAGAAATTTCTCTGCCCCTTTCCATTATACTTCAGGTTCGTAAAATGATTACCAATGCAGTTAATGTAAAGTAATTTCCTCTTCAGCAATGAAAAAGGATTTTATGTAGGGAAAATTCCGGTTAGCCTTCGACGACCGACACTTTCATTACTTTGGCATTCATCATTAGCCAGATTTATTCAAGGTACAGATACAAAGTTAGGTGTAAAATTTATGTTCCAAGAATTATTTACTGTACGACAAGGAATGTGGAACGGCATATGGGAACGGGTTAGCCTGCTTAACTCCACCCCCCCCCCCCCAGTACACTGTCACTGACCCTCTACACTTCTCGACAACGTGGAGCTCCTGTTAATGCCTTTTAGACAGACTGTGATAAGTTTAGAATGATAAGGGCATGTTATGTTTGACAAGTTAATGATATCGAAGGCAGTTTATTGCGATATAACATCGGTGACAGTCTATTGCAGTATCGGCGAGTTGGCAATATCGGTGACTCTATCTGTGACAATATCGGTGAGTGTGACAATATCGTTGACTGTACGTCATATTATCAGTGACAGTCTGACATAATATCGGTGAGTATGTCATATCAGTGACAGTGTATGACAGGTTTAAAATATCAGTGACACACATGGTTGATGACAAGTCTAGAGTATCGATGTAACACGCGAACTTGGAATCTCAGAGTTACGGCGGAAATCACTCTGACTCGGCTCATCCTGCTCCAACTGTAGTGGTTTATATTTTGGTTTAGTTGTGGTGTACGCTACCATACAAGGTTTACCCCTTAACCTACCTGGACTACTAGTGTTACGGACTACCGGGACTGACCTCCCCGAAAAAGTGTTTCATTTAAGCATCCAGTTCCTGATGGTCATGCTTAGTGGTTCGTTTCCACAAGTCATAGTTCAGTGATGGTGTCGAGTTGCCGAAGGCGTGAAGGCCACAGACGAATAATAAAGACTAAAACTTATAATAATAAAAAAAAGAGACAATATTGGGAATGGCAAACACACAAACATGCATAAAGTCCATACATACTGTTTGTAAACGTACATAAAATGCCTATGCAATCACACATAAAACATACAGTCCACTCACAATACAGTCACATATTTTTCTAATGATATCTTGAGCCAGACTGACAACATTCGGTCTGATCACTACTTGTAAAGCGATGACACACGGACATGTACCGAACATATGAGATTAGTGATTCAGTCCACCGCCCGTCACCCTGCTGACAGGAACTAGAATCGTGTAATCTGAGCGAATTCGTTGGAAATAAAAAACTAGCTGCTGCACCATACTATGTAAATATCAAAACTGCACCGTGTGGGTATTATGATTAAAGAAAAAAAAATTATCCCCTAACAATGCAAAAAAAAAAAAAGAATCATTTTCCACATTTTCTCCAAACATATACTACTTACACTAGCCCGCCATGGCAGACTCACTATAGACTCGTCTCTCCTAAGTGAACGATTCAGAAAGGCCAACACATGTTTTAAAAAACTGTTAAAATGGATTTATTTTGCCAAAGCGGTTATCCACCAGGGCAACATTTCAGGATTCAGCCTTTTGTTTCAGGAAATATAAGTCTCCTTTGCTGCTTAATCTCCTGTTAGATCTGCTTAGGTTTGGTTACGAATATATTGTATGTGTAGAAAATTAAATAAAATTTATTTATATTCATTATTTATGTCTTATCCTATAACCGTATGTTTATTCTACCGTATAAATTTACGGTACAGTGGCAGGAAAATATACCGTACGTGAATGTATTGAAACCACTAACTTAAAGTGTTTTTGGAAAGTGTATAATTTACTCATGTCATATAATTATACTGTGAACACGTTTACAATATATATAATTTTATACTGTGAACACGTTTAAAAAATATAATGTAGAATTTGGAACGAATTGTTCTTACTGTAAAAGTTTTGAATCAGGATTGACGGGCTGTCAGGTTTTACCCCAACGGCTTGTTTCGGTCTTGTAGTGCACATGCTGGCTTAGTTGACAGTTGTTAGTTTGGTTGGGGCTTTTACAATCGATGCCCTTTTTAAGGACTATAATTATGGTGGTGTGCACGTGTACTCGCCGGACGTTCGTGTATTGACCCGACCAGTGTGCTCAAGTGGACTCAGGGCTCTCACGCAGCTGTACCATCAGTAATTATTCAGCAGGATATATTCACCCATCACGCAAGGCTCTCGACTTAGAAACATGTTGGAAGCTAGTGGGTTGGTAAGGCAATTCTCAGGAAAAAATGCCGTTTGAAGGGTGGTGCCAATGTTTCAGTTATTGTGTAGCTATGTACAGTGTCGTTCAAGATTCCTCGAACACTGCTGGAGACTGTACCTAATAATACTTTCGGATTTGTGAATTTTTCTTTGTTGTTTCTCACGGTATACTTTTTACCAACTAGCCTTGTCAGTGTACAGTATAAATATTATGGGTGTAGTTTTTATTGTTTCTTACAGGCAATACACGTTTGTATGTACAGTATATGATCATCAGTAGTGTGCAGTATGCAATATATATGTGGGAATACTTCAAGCTTATATATCGGAGTTTCATCTACACGAAGCCTATTCTACTCTAAGGATTTATTTTGAAATTTGTAATAATTACTGGGGAGTCAATTACCGGAGTAATAATGACCGTGGAGTGTCAGTTACCCATATAGTAATGACTGGGGAGTGTCAGTTACCCATATAGTAATGACTGGGGAGTGTCAGTTACCCATATAGTAATGACTGGGGAGTGTCAGTTACCCATATAGTAATGACTGGGGAGTGTCAATCACTCGTGTAGTAATGATTGAGGAGTGTTAGTTACCCGTGTAGCAATGACTGGGGTGTGAAAATTACTCAAATAAAAAAAACTAACTTTCTCGTTGGCTACCACATCTAGTAAAGGTAGTGGCTCCTCCTGGAGGGAAGAAAACCTGTACCTAGGTCAGGATTTTCACCCGTTTTTGCTGATCATATTCCCCAGACCTATTATAAAGGTTAACATTGTTTTGGCAAATACAACTTCAACACGTATATTGTTCAACAGGGCTGGTACCATGGGGAAGTACGTCCTCTTTTTTCACGAATTCGCAGAGCAGGAGACTGAGCCCTTGTGTGTGTGTGTGTAATGTGGTCGCGTCCTTGACAGCTTGGAGAAGTACTCGAGGCTTCTGATCGTCATGTTCTACAACCTTAATTCCTTATCTGTTTTCCATGGATGTATTTTAATGCTGAATTAGGTTTAGTCACTGTTATAAATTTTCCTGTAATATATACTTCTGTAGGTGTATTTATTGAGTTAAGTAAACAGTTTCTTGTCCTTGTGTTTATGATGAATATGGGGACTCCTAGAATTTGGGGGGGAAAGTATTTTAACACGTTTGCACAAGTTATTCAGTGTAGCACAGTGAATTATTTTAGGCATCATCTTGTATTGATTTACTGTCTTTATTTTCCCACATTGTGTTTCCGAAAATCTTTGTATTGTCCTCAGATTCGATTAGATATATATTATGTTGTTGATTACAGAAAGAATAGCCCCTAAAATGAATCCTTCTGGTACTTCGCCCAGAACGTTTTTTCCTAGTCTGGTTCTTTTCATGTTTAGAAACCACTCGATTTCCATTCCTGCTTCAAGAACCCTTCTCGAGAGTGGAATGTCGTTTAGTTTCTGTTATGTGAAAACTAGTTTAAAATAATAAAGTTATTTGTTTGTTATCTGCTGTATCTTGGTAGTTTCCGCCATTTTGAGGGCCCACAGGTGTCTCGTCTCTGCTGTGTTTCGTAAATGTATCAAATTACTCGAGATATTGTCCAATTTCGTGAACCAGCTTTTGCAGGGAGTCCGGTGCTCTAGTTTTCTGGGTAATCACCTTAAGAGATTTTTTTGTGTGATATCGTGTTAGTACTGCATATTCTTTTGCGTTTCGGTGTGTAAGGTAAAGGTGACGTTTTCTTTCAGTGTCTGTTGACATGTCATCGAAGTTAACTTAAACAACTTCTTTCTTTTCTTACTGTGTACACATTTTCGTTAATTGTGTTCATGATATTTTTAAAACTTCTGCCACACTTCCTCATAAACCTTTTTTTTTCTTGAACATAATCTATTCTATGGCAGTGATTCGGATGCTGCAATTTTGAGTCAATGCGTGTGTGTTTTTGATGATGCAAAGTCTGTTCTGTAGGTAACAGCTTCTACCAATTTATTTTTAATATATGGTAGCAAGTCCGTGTTGTTGTGCCCCTATTGAGGAACATCTTGCCTTGGCAGTGTCCATCCGTTCGTCTTCTTTTGTACAGTTTGTGGGATGTTTTTACACACGTCATTGCTGGCCTGTATTAAGTTCTCTTTTTGGTGAGTGCGGCTGAGATGTGAACTCAGTTATTCAAACAATTAGAAATGGTTTCAAATACTAAATGCTAAATATTTTCATAGGTTGTTGGAAAGGGAGAGTTATTGCACTTATTTACTGCTTGTTCGTCTTAAAATTTACACAAGTAATGATGATTGGAAATTACACAAGTATCAATAATGGAAGTGGGAATGGCAGTGCTGGTTGCTTCACGTACAACCCATCTTTATTATAGATTTTATTAAGCATTTTAAGGATTAATTACAATGGCGAAACTGGATTTTATCTTCCCACAGCGACGCAAGAGACATGTCCGGTATGCAAAGAAAACTAGTTATATTATATAACATAGCGAGAGTATCGTATACCGCTGTACGTGATAAGAATAGTGCAGGCAGTGAACCTTAATCTATTCTACCCTGATCAAGATGTTGTTCAATGGCTTTATATTTTTCCTCATACGGGAGATTTGAGGACTCGGCTATGTCTCTTTCATGCTGCGGCAACGTGATGATGACCAAATAGCGTTGAAATTACAGTAATCGTATACCCCTCACATCCACAGAAATAGGCAGTGCTCTATAGCTGGCAACACACCGCAGGGTACGAATGTGAAAATTATAAGGCGTTATTGTTCTGACCTACCCTGTATCTCCCAA